GCAGATATCTACATCTTTGTGGATGTGCTGCCCAACAGGCACCCCTCAGTTAAAAAAAGAATAGGTTGTGATTTCACAAATGAAAGTTTCTTTCTAATATTAATATGAGGAATGCATTCATCCCAGCCCATAAAGTTGTCCCCGAATTATACCTTTCTTGGGGTCTATATACCACTTTCTACTCCAGGCATTGTGAGTTTGGAAGGGCTGCAGTGGCTAGCATCCTTGACAGCACCTTGCCCCAGCTCCGCTACATGGGCTATGTGAAAAAAGATTTCTTCTCGAAGGTCCATGAAGCCATTTCTTCAACCATCTACACCCATTGGGATGCTTCCAGGGAATCAGGGCCCCAGCAGCGCCCCCGAGAAAGTGGATCAGTCGGTCCTCTTGGTCTCAAAGTCCTGGCAGTCAGCGCAAGTGGCCAAGTGGTTTGGCCTGACTCTCTTTTGAGTGGGTACCCTTCCAACAGTGCTGAGTACAAAGCCCTTGAAGCCAAGCGTGCGGCTTTTTTGGAGATGTGCCCCCAGGTTCAAACTTCATCCCAGCAAACCACGGTGAGATCAACTGCACGCCCGGACTTTAGCATTGAAGGAGGGAAGGAGCCATTGGACCACACCAGGATGGTGGACCTAGCTGGGATTCCTGCTGGTGACTTCACTGGTGAAAGGCAGGGTCCAAATTGTTTCACTCAAAAATAATAAAAGGTTGACTGAAACCATGTGATCACACCCTGTGAGGCTGGCAACATCACCTGGAAAGAGCAACCGCCCCACTGTGGTCATCACCCAGGACTGGCATGTTTGGGTTGGCAATGAGAATTCCGAAGACTTGGCATTGGAAGCAATGCCTCTATTCGGATTTGGTCTCGGGGAGTATGAGGACAAAGTCGTTGAAGGCACAAGCATCCAAATAGCCAATCTTTTTTTAGCTGTAGTGAAACTTAGTCATTCGACTCTATATTGGTTGCAAGTACCACCAATCACACTATATACTTGCTGTAGCAGTATTAGCCCCATCTTTTGTAATAGCAGTTTCTCACATACAACCCTTGAGGCGATGGTGTGCAGGATGTGCTGAAACGGGTTGTTCCTTGGAAAATGACTGATGACAAAGCATTGGTCTGCTACAATGGCTCTCTTACACCTCTGTGCTGTGTTCTGCACAAAATGTCATCAGACCATGGTTTGGTTGATGTCCAGATCTTGGACCACAAGCACAGCCCCAAGATGAGAACTGCAATTTGGCTCAAACTTGCCTATTATTATGTTATATTTTGTTTTGAAATCTGTTTGACCCAAATACTTACTCAATAACTCAATAATCCCTTATTAGAACCCATTTCCCGGTCACCAGTCTCCTTGGCACAAGAAGCAGCCCGCTTCCAAGGCAGTAGATGGGCAAGAGCCTGTGCCAGCGCCGTTCCGCTTCCACGTGGAAATTCAGACCGGAAGAAAGACCCACTGTTTTCGACCGAGCTCGTTGGATGGCCAAGACATGATGAATGTCAAGCACCACTCTCTGGGACAGGTGCTCAAAGGCAACTTCAACCGGCTGGGATCGAACCAACGTGCTGGATTGGTATGGGAGGTATCTCAACCCAACATGAGTTCCCTTCTTGTGTCTTTTTGGCTCTATACCCTTCAACCTCCACTTCAACCTCCACATCATTCCTATCCCCTCTTACTTGCCTCGCTAAGGTGCAATCGACAACGTCAGTGCCGCCGAAGGTCCTGCCAGTGAAACCCAAGTTCTGGCTGACTTGCTCAACTGTCTTGGCTGGGAACACGTGGTACCAGTTGACTTCGTGTGCCTAGAGCACCTATGTCAAAATCTAGCGATAACTTTTGAGAAATTGCCGCTTCAACACGGGCTTGAAACCTGTGAAATGTACATTCATGTCATGTGAATGCTTTGGGGTAAGGCTAGATCTAAATCTAGGTTCCATAGCTGGATGTCCACAAGATGTTATTGTTTTCAGTTCTCAACATATTTTTTGAAGCCACTTCCAACCGCAAGAATTTTTCACATGGGATGTCCAAGGAGCCTAGCTAGCGGGGATCGTAGGTTGCCACAACAAAAATCTCAAGCGCCGTGATTCGAGAAAAAATTGTGCATCTGAACATTCCTATGCTTCCATTTGGATCCATTTGGCATCACCAGGCACTTTTCCAAAAGCATTAGAATCGAACTTTATCGTGAGTTTTTCTCCGAGCAGCTGGTTAGGTGTGGTGACTTGGGTTCCTGAGGTCAGGACTCCATAGGAACCGGTGAAATTTTGGAACAGCCATGGTGGTACTTGGTGCTGTCACGGAACTCACCGAGTCTGAGTCTGAGGATGAGCTGGTGGGTGTGTTTTGCAGGAACACACCAAGTATCACCCAGCGCAATCAATTCACTGTTTTTCCCCATTCCAAAATCATTCTAATCTAATGGTTTTTGGCAGGAGCCCAAAGGGAAAGCAAAAGATGTGAAGAAGGAAACAACACCTAAGCATTCCCCGTCAAAGTCTACCACTCCAGCAGCTTCGGAACCTTCAACAAGGGGTAGACCGCGTCTCCGTCGTCCCGCTGCGGCGGTTGAGGCCTCGAGTTCCAAAGGGATGAAAGCTTGTGCGAAAGCAGAAGCGAAAGCCCGACAGAAAGCCCCTGCAAAAAGAAAAGCCGAGGAAAAGAAGACCAGGACAGTTAGCAAGACCCGAGGAACCAAAGGGAAAGCAGAGCCCGCAGAGAACAAGGATGAAGACAATTCAGAAGTTGAAGGCCCCAAATCGGCAAAAGGAGAGGACACCGCAGAGACTGTCAAACCCAGAGCCAATGCTAAGGGAAAGGCGAAAGCAAAGAGCAAGACCAAAGGAACCGGAAAGGGTAAGAGAAACAAGGATGTCAAGAATGAAGATGGAAAGGATGATGTGCCCACTATGGAAGAAAGTCCTAAAAAACCGGGAAAACGAATGAAACGACCGTCAGGTGGGGAAACTTGGTATCAAAATTCCATCAGTATGATGCGCACTTTAGTCCAAAAACATTAGAAAAAAGCGGCAACTCTTTAGCCCTTTTGCAGGCGCTGGAGAGACCCTCGAGGCGAAGGTTGGAAATCCATACTACTACAAGGCCAACAACACTTGGGCGTTCAAGGTAGGTGGCCGCGAAGCTGTGCGAGCCCCTTGGCTCAACTTCTTTGTTTATGTGTTACTCAGTTACCGTAAGTGGCAAACTAGCTAAACCACCTTAGGTTTGCTCCGACACATTTGGGTGTGGCCTTGGGAGATAGGTGAGTATATGTCAGAATATTTCAAGTCTTCTTACCATCCAAGGTTGGGACCCTTGGATGTTCGAAGGATAACCTCAAAGAGATTATCGCCTGGAACTTAGCTGAATCAGTTCAGCATCCACTAAAGACACTTCCTGGAACACTCAAGACTTGAGGATGCTGCTCGGACCGTGGTCCTCAATGGTGAATCTGTCAAGGATGCCAAGGAGTTGGCAGCTACTTGGCCCAAACATGTGGTTGAACATCAATTTGCTGTGCGGGAAGCTTTTTTCTTGCTTTCGCTGCGCGGAAAACTTTTTTTCTTACGATTAGATTTGCTTAGCTTATCGTTATGAATTTTGACTGCCAGGCATTCCAATGTGTTAGCCCTGTTGTTCCGGCCCTAGCTCAGGCCAGGATGCTGGAACAACTTCCTTCCACTCCGGGGCCCGGTTTGGACGTTGGAGAAACCGTCAAAGATAGCCATGGGGATGATGAGCAGACAAAAAATGATGGGAAGGAATATGATGAGGATTTGTGTGAAGGAGAGGAGGAAGAAAAGTTGGCGGAAGGAGAGGAGGAAGAAGATGCCGAAGATGACAAAGATGTTGACTAGGGATTCCAAACCACTGAGCTGAGGTCGCGGCTGAAAAATTGGCAGTGGATGCAGCCGCTCTTGGGTCTTTGTGTGGCGGTGCTTGGGTGTTTGGCACATCTCCCCACAAATGTTATCATTAGTCCAAGGGTGTTGGTGAATTATTTACTGATTTTAATTACCCCATTCACAACAATTATTGTGCTATATAGTTTACCCCATGTGACCTCCATCATCTGACCTGGATAACATGTCTGCCCTGGATGTCATGAAAATGTTTTATATATATATATATATAACAGATACAGTACCAGAAACAGTACATATAAATACACACATAAGGGGATCAGTGGCAACAGGAAACCCTTCAAGGGGAAGCAGAGGCGTCGCAACAGCACTTGCTTGTTCGTGGTGACAAAACGCGGCGTGGCAGTGAATGTGGTGGGTTTAATCTGCGTCAGTTGATCTAGGTCATTCTTGCTTTTCGCAAGGACACTTTGCATGATTATACATGATTATACTAGGTTCTGATGACCTGCAGGATTCTGCAAAAAAAAAAAACGTCAAGTCATGCAGTGTCCCGAAAAGTCATCAGCTACACAAAGTGCCAAAAATGTTCGGCTCGGGAGCATCCCCAGAAGATCCGTAACACAAACGGCCCTGAGGCTTTTTTTCCCGAAAGCTCCTGCGATTTGGGTGTTTCCAAAAAAAGACATCCTGCCAAATCCAAGCCATGAGCCATGAGCTATACTATCTACATGATACCTCTATAACACCCCACCCATCCCACGGCAGAGCCCCCACCCATCCCACAGGGTATACAGCGGCCATACAGGACCATGACCATGACCTGGGGGGGTGGGGAGGGTTGCTGGCATGGGCCATATATACATATATTGTATAATTATATAATATATGTATACATTATTATCATTATCATTATTAATAATTATTATTATCTTCATTATTATTATATTATTATTACTATTATCATTAATATCAAAATTACCCTCTGGTAAACTAACATAACTATGGAAAATCATTTTTTTCATAGGAAAACTCACTATAAATGACAATTTTCAATAGCTATGTTGACATAACCAGAGGGTAATAATAATAATCTGCTCCCTTCTGAACTCCCCGGTCTATTTCCAGCTCAGCATTCGGGACACATCAGCAGATCCTGCTGTTCGTCATTGGCTTCTTCCATCGCGGAGGAGCCACGGGCTTCCTCCAGTTGACACCACAGCAGCGCCAGATATTCTGAGAGCCGCTGGAAGTAGGGCCTCCCATGGCCGATTAGGAGATCTTAGGATGGATTTTAGATGATTTTTCTAAAATAGATTAGACATTTCATGGGATATCATGGGATATATATATATATATAGATATACACATGGAATATATAATAATTAATATATATATATATATTATATATATATATATATATATATAGCCAGGATCATTGGATATAATTTGGATGTTATAGGGAGTTTACCTCCCCATTCTATGGCCAATGCCATGGGGAACATGGATTTCATCAGCTGTCTTCATTAAGGACGATTCGTCAGCTGTCTGTCTTAGAAAAACTTTGCACAAGCCCCGAAATATCTGACACCTAAGCATTGCACATGGATAGATCAACAAAATCAGCATACACAGCAGCATGCAATGATCTACACACTCATACTAGTACTGCATGTATACACTGGATGTGCACATAGCTACCTGTAGTTCCCAAACACTCTCATGTTGTTTGAAGTTGGATTGACTCAAAAACTTAGAATCATCATCCTTATTTCCTTCCGAGATTTACCTACCATTGTATGCCCATTGCAGTTGGTTTCATCCCCATGAATATCAACATATCCCCGAAATGGAATATCTCCCCATAATTATCGTGGAATATCATGGAATATCAACACCAATTGATCATCTGCAGGGAAAATCTACACCAAAAATCAACAAAAACATCATATCATCCCTACCAATCCCTACATCAACATTCACCCACCCGAAATCGAACAAAAACAATTCAAACATCCGACAACTCCCCACAAATCCCTATAAATCCCTATAAATAATCACCATAAATCTCGATAAATCTCCATAAATCTCCATAAATCACTATGAAAAACCCCATAAATCACTGTAAATCTCCATAAATCCTTCGAACAAAATCTAGGTTAACCACCGCCTCACATCCGGCCTGGCCACCCGTAGTACGAAGCGCTGCATGGCCTCGTCGTCCAGGCGGAAGACGCGCAGCGTCATGTTGCGCACCGAGGTTCGTACCATCTGGTCCCGGTGACCTCGAATCATCGATGGCGATGCGACATCCGAATCACCAGGGAAAACTCGTTGAATCTCATGTTTGCTGGCAAATTCCCTCATTCTCAGAGCTTTCTCCCAACAACAACTCCGGAAAGCCATATAGTTTCAGCACCCATATCCCACTCATAGGGAAACTATCACCCCATACAATGTGCCCCCCCCGTTTACGATAGCGTTCAGTTGCTGCAAATAACTCCCATGAAACACCATGGTTTATGATACCTATAACATCCTATAACGAACTAGTATTCATGGGGATTATAAACCAACAAACATAACTGGGGGAGCTCACATTGTATGAAACACTGAAAAATATCAGGAAATCATGGGATGATGGGATAAACCATCTACCAACTGGTGATTCGGATTTCGCAACCCCCACAGTATGTTCAGAGATGAATAGTTCATGTTCAAATATGGTGTCAGTTGTTGAAAACATAGGGGACATAAAAAGGGAAAACGAGGATTTATCCAGCTATGGATAATTTTGGGGTAAACCATGGGTATACCGGGTAACCGTAGATGGAGAGTTCATGGTGATCAACAAGTTACATGGGGTGATAAACCAACCAGTTTATGGTGATATCGTGGGAATATCATAGGAGATTTGGTGGAACGGACCAAAATATCCAAAATCCACTGCGTAAATAACCAGAAATGCAGACATGTAGGTGTTTGCAAAGATATACGCAGGATATGATAGTGAGAGTATAGCAAGGAATAGGATTGGTGATTGTAGCAGAAAAAGACATGCAAAAATTGTTCATGTTAAGCGAACACTTGCGACAAAATGGAGGTTTCTGGGTATCAGTAGGGAGATCATAGTTGGGCCAGTTGAAGGCTGAGGGGTCTGGGATACCTTTTGATCGGACTAAGAATCGGAACAGAAACGGGGCTTTAACCAACAGAAATGTAGCTTCAAACCAATCAAAGAACTGAATTTTAAAAGCAGAAATGGCAGACTCACCAGGCAATACTTATACATTCCATGAAGAACAACAATGATTCCACCACCGAAAAACGTTGAGTGTGTGGGACATAGATTGGACATGACAGGGCTATGGCTATGGTATGCTACGGCTATACTGGCTGTAAATGTCATAAGTGGGATATAATATGATATTATACTGTAACTGAAAATCGGTGATTCAACCAAAAGATTGAAGGGTTTTGCAACAGATTTTCACCAAGAAAAAATGGCTTCGCGGGATGGCTTCGCGGGATATCTGTGGTATATAACTGCGAAAGAAGTTGGTTGTTCAGCAAGTGATATGTCATGTTTAGTTAAAATTAAAACTAACATGAAACAAAAACAAACAACGCAGAATATCCATGGTTGGGAGATCTCGGTGATATTGCAGGGATGAATTGGGATATGCGATATGCCAAAAACATATGATATGGCTTTATCATGCTTTATCCAAACATAGAGGATTTAATTCCCCGTTGAGCTCAGCCAGTGGTGAACGTGATGAAGACTCCTGGGATGGAACAACCAACATACTGTAGACTGTAGTTTCGCTTCTCTCTGGGAATAGCTAGACAACCGCTCCATTTCATGACATATTACGATGGGTGTATATATATATATATATATTATAATATATATAACTATGTATATATATAGGGCTGCAAAAATATTGCAAATTATATTTGTATCATGATCATTATTACTATGTTTCAGGCATATTAATGGTATTAAGCAAAAACAATCCCTATGGTGTATGATCAGTTGTTACTATTAATAGCTACAAGTATCATTATCATATCATTCTTAGTCAGTTGCACTACACTAACAATCCCCCGGATTATGTATAACTATAAGGCTGCAGTATCAACTATTAATTTGTTGTTGTCTTGATATCTACTGTTAATTATTGTCAATCTATTACTGATAAGGCAATTATAGCTACCCTATAGTTCTATTGCTTTATGGCAATTACACACAGCGTTCATGCCATGGGGTCACGTCTAGAAAAATTCCACATGCAACACTTGAGACAAGTATTGAATATGTCATAAGTTCTTGAAGCAACTTCAGTTGTGGGACCAAATGCAGCTTGAAGGAGATCGATCTCCCGCAGCTGTGACTTATTCATCGTGGCCCTCAAGGCTTCCCCGGTGACCTAAGATTCGAATGATCGCAGTAGACTGATATACTGTTTACTACAACTTAACATGAGGAAGTAACCTGTGACAATGCACGATTTCTTACTCTGAAAAAATCTTTCCCATATGCTCTATGTATTTACCCAACATAAATCACCCAGTTTTGTAGGAAAATATACCACCATGGAGCAGCTGAAGGGTTGCCGTCCAGGGCACTGAAGAAACGGATCGCCTCCGTAAAGAGCGGGAACTGTTGGGAGCGCTCGTTGAAGAAGAACCTGGGCGCAGGCCCTGGCGATTTATATTGTTTTCCGGTCGTCAAAAGGTGGCTTAACCATCAATAAATAGGGATTTAATGGGAGTTGATCTAATTTTTATGAGATTTCAATGGGATAAAATGGGAATTAATGGGAATGTACAATAAATTCGCCAATAAAAATGAGCATCCCGAAGGTTGAAAGCATCTTTCACCCAGCATTTTTGGATGGATGGTACATCTTTGCATCCCATCACCAGATCCCTTTGATCCGCTCCGTTGCCAAGCTGCTTCACGGTCTCTTGGTTTAGTCTCAGAGCCAAAGACTTCAAAAAACTGATGTAGTAACCTGGCTCACATCGAAACCGGTTTGAACCCCATGATCATCGTGGTAAAAACCCATGGTTTCCGGTGAAAAAAAATCCCTGAAGCCAATCCATTGACTGGCCCCTTCGGGACTTAAATTGGCGATGAAAAACCAAGATCTTAGCCCCGTTTTTTCCTAAGAATGGGGGATCCCCGAGTCACCATGGTTGTTGCAAGACTAAGTCATGGTATTTGGGTATATTTGGAATACAGTATCCCCAATTTAGGACACCATATGCTGAGATGATCCAGTGTTGACTCTTCCATTCTTGATGAACTCTATGTCCCAAGAATCATGTGGGGTTCCCATCCACACAACGACCAACGTTTGGAAAAATCAAAGGGCCGGTTTTCAACCCAACCCGCATCAATATCCATGAATTCAACCAAGTTCGGGATCTACCCCCCCCTCAGTTTTTCCACCTTAACCCATGTCAAAACCCACAATTCACCCTGCTTCAACCCAACATGTCAGGGTTTACCAACCATTTTACTCATTTCAGCCCCCCTTTTGACAGTGCTTAACCCCGCATCAGCAGAACCATTCAGAACTCATCTTACTGGTCGATTCGACATCGGAGCGGCTAAGAATCTCCTCATCGGACCAGTCAAATTGAGTGGCGATGAGTTGGTTTACGTAGTTGTTGCCTGGCGATTTCAGTGAACATTTACCAGCAAAATTCGAAGAGGGAAATGCCGGGGGATAACAAACAAAGCCGGCAACAAGATTGCACTTGAGTTTTCTACTTGGGAAATTACGAACGCTTAGTCTTTGGATCTATGAATGACTAGTTCACCAGTCAGGGAAGAGTTGTCTCACCCCAATTGGCCAGACTTGTAATCCTTTCAAGTTCCAGCCGTTGTGAGTGCCTTTCAAACCCTTTCTGTGCTCGGACATCAACGAATGCTGGATTCATAACATGATTGTTGTCGAAAATGCCATTCCGGTCATTCCGCTTCAGAAAACAGTGAAGAAAACTTTGCAATGTGGATAACCCATTAGGAAAGCTACCATTTGAGGATATATAAATTAGTCACTTATGGTGAGTAACTGGGGCATCCCCATCAATCCCTGCTTCCCGTGGTTCCCGGTCAGGTACTGAAGAGGTAGTACAACGACGTCGGCCTCGAGCGGAGCTTTTTAAAAAACATCACCCATAGCTATTCAACAGGGACATCATCTATTTAAAAAAGGGTCATGTTCAATAGTTATTATAGTTATGTAAAATTACCGGGATCCAAAGGGTATCCAAAGTTTGGAATCCAACAAAAAAGAGGTGCTTGATCATTACTTTTAGCCACCAAACCAAAACTTAGCCAACTAAAAAGCACGGTTGTTCATCAGGTGACTGATGGTACCATATGGGCCTTAAAAAGTTGCTTCCGAGCGGGTCCAAAGAAAAAGAACGGCTACTGTAGCGCTGTTCAGGGTAGGATATCCCATACAATTACATCCCATTATTTGTCTATTCAATTAAATCCAATTTTGGCAAATTCTGCAAATCCTCACAGGATTGTTCCTCTACCTATCCCCATATGCTCCATTGTGCTGGAATCTTTACCAACATTTGCCCTGAAAATCACCCAGTCATGTAGGTAAATATACCAGCACCATGGAGCATATGGGATACCCTCTGGTAAACTAACATAGCTATTGAAAACGGCCATTTATAGTGGATTTACCCATTAAAAATTGAGATTTTCCATAGCTATGTTAAATTACCAGAGGGTATAGCAAAACATTCTTCCCAAACAGCTGTGGACAAAAACGTGCACCGCAAGGAGATCTGAGAAAACCCGAAGTCTTCGGCGCACCTGCGAATGTTCTGGATCAACATCGAGAGGCTCTGCAGCAACTGCACCTTCACCTTAGTGAAGCGCAAAGGAGTGGCGTGAATGGCTGGGGAACCACAGATCTTTAGGCATAGCCAGAAAAATAGCCATGATGTAATGGGGATATATTGTGACATTATATATATATATATAGATATCCATTCTAAAGCACTATGGAAAAGTATGGAAAACTGCTGAACCATACTAACCCCCTTAGTCTTCAGAACCTCAAAGCCGCTACTGGCGAACTTCCATCGTCACGCCGTCAGGTCAGAGGATTCTCCATGGATGATCAGCCCATGGAATCGCTGTAATGAGGTCAAAACAATGCCATAAACTACCCATTTTGGTTGTGGTTTATACCACCTATTTTGGGTGATTTGGGGGATGGTTTATTATTGTTGTAACCACATTACTATATATATATATATATATATGTATAATGATGTATAATTTCCCATTATCTGATATATATATATATATAGATAGATATGTATACAGATACGTATCTATAAATTTACCATATCATAATATATATATATATATACTGGTTGGTGGTTTGAACCCCTCTGAAAAATATGACTTCGTCAGTTGGGATGATGAAATTCCCAATATATGGAAAAATAAAATGCATGTTCCAAGCCACCAACCAGTATATATTATATTGTATAATGTTCATTGTCTACTGAGTCTAAAGAAATCATAGATGGTAATTGGACACTCTTGCACTCAAAGGTGGCAATGGACATCTAGTGTTTCAGGAAAGCATCATCTATCCCTGGAAGCTTGTTCATTGGAGTAGAATCACATAATAGATAAACACAAATCATAAATAATTATACACATACCTTCTGGAAAAATAACATAGCCATGAAAACTGGTTGGTGGTTTGAACCCCTCTGAAAAATATGACTACGTCAGTTGGGATGATGACAGTCCCAACTGAATGGAAAGCCATAAAATGCCATGGTTCCAAACCACCAAGTATAAAGTACCCTCTGGTAAACTAACATAGCTATTGGAAATAGTGGATTTTCCCATTAAAAATGGTGATTTACCTACTCCATGGAGATGACCTACTCCAGGTGCCCCTCCCCGGGCGCCAAGAAACGGTCTTGGGCACGTTTCGGCCCAAGATCTGAACGAAATCCGACAAAATGCCTCCGGAGAATCGTGGGATGGAGATATCCCCTGTGGGGGTTCCATAAACCAATGTATATATATATATATATTTATATATTTATTGTTATTAATTATTATTGTTATATTATTATTATTAACTAGTTTTAATTATTATTATTATACATTGCCACTATCATTGCTATCATTATCATCACTACTATTACTTACTTGTGCTAAACGCAGGGAATGGATGGGTTGCTGGGGGTTGCTGGGGGTTGCTGGGATGAAATTCATAGTTATTGCGGATCATTCCCAAAATTTCCCTACTAAGCACCAGTAAGTAAATGGCTGTACCCCAAAGTGGATGGCTTATAACGGAAAATCCTAGCAAAAAAAATGTTGATTGAGGGGTACCCCCATTTCAGAAAGCAGACCTCCATGTATATAACTGGACAATTGCCATGATAGAACTAAAGCCCACATGGGAAACAAAAATGATGCACCAGCACAATGAACTATAGCAAAGTGATGAGATTTGAGGACGATATCCATCAAAATGCATCGCTATCCTAGGTATTTTACAACATGGTGCTTTTTTCTTCGGGGTGAACTGAACTAACCATGTTGAGACACGATGGGACGGGGATCTTTGGTCTATTGGCTCCAACATGCGGGATCCAAAACCAACGGACATGAATAGAGATAGAGTCGAGAAGTTGGAACCCAAATTAACTATATATATATATATCATGTTATCTATATATATATATTTATTTATTTACATCAACTATCTAGATATACATGCGTGAACCATATATATATATATATTATAAATATAGATATCAATGATAGATATCAATGACTCCATGAGTTCATGGCCCAAAATTGAGTTGTTGATCAAACAGACATGTTTTTTTTTCACTGGACAATGGGATAAGATCTGGTGAAACAATCCGACAAAAATGCAGCCATGGGATAGCAAGCAAAGTTACGAGGAGTATGCCAAAAAAATGGATGGCTAGTGATGGTTTATGTACTGTAATCCTGAAAGAAACTAACATATTTGTGGGTTGGGGTGCATTTAATGTTGAAAGGAATTGAACCAAACAACACGTATGGTCCAGTTGTCCCTGCATCCAAGAGACAGTTCTCGCAAAAGAAATCAAAGAATTGATCATTGTCATCCTGAGCGCCCAGCCGCCGGCCAAGCAAAACACTGAAACATCCTTTACTTGCTTTTTCCGGCCCAATACACCCAATACTAAACATATAATTACATATTTACCAAACACACACACATATATATATATATATCAACTTTTAGGTCGACCGAGATTTCGTACTGATTCCAAGGAAGAAAGGAGCATGTGGCTGTGGTCTGGGTCTAAGGATAGCCAAAACAAACATGGTTTGCTGGTCATATTGAGGGTACAGGTCTTGTAATTTGACCTTGGTGTGTCAGAACAAAAGGTACCCCTAAATGCCACTGCTTAAGGATCATGGCTCAAAGTAAAATAATTTGAAATGCCCATTTTGGTGTTACACCGGTATACTCAAATATACTCAATTTCAGACACATCCACCTACTATAACAAACACCCATCCTCATGGCAAACTCTCTGACAATCCCCGTTGCGATGACCTGTCAGCTGCACTCTGCCCCATCTGACTTGAGGGCACCATGGATGTTGGGTATGTCTTGCACATATAGATGATTATAGATGTATAATGACCGGATCGGTGGGTACCACAACCATCCTCAAGTTCTGTCAATTTGGGCCCTAATTTGATCCCGTTTGACATCGGGGATGCTAGTCCGCTGCCTCTGCAAATGCAAACCCATCAAGATGTTAGATGACACAATAACATACCCTCTGGTAATTTAACATAACTATGGAAAATCACCATTGTTCATGGGAAAATTGACTATAAATGGTGATTTTCAATAGCTATGTTAAATTACCAGAGGGTACACAACAATCGACAACAGACTTGCAAAGATATGACAACGTACGCAACTTATGCTCGTTCCTTCTGGATGCAAACCCACAATCATTCATCTTCCCATCTTCCCACCAAAAAATAAATCATCACACACTCACACATCAGAAAAAATACAGTATAAGTATATAAATATAACTATATAACATATCAGATATGTATAGTACATATATATATAATTATAAATATATCTGGTTGGTGGCTTCAACCCCTCTGAAAAATATTAGTCAGTTGGGATTATTATTCCCAATATATAGAAAAAAAAATCCAAACCACCAACCAGATATATATTCCATCACCCCCCCCCCCAGCGTTGGTTTCCCACATCCTTCGCCCCCTTCGCCGCTGCGCGTCGTTCTGCTCGCCCCAGAGCAGCGCCTCGGTCATGGAGCGGATCACCTCCACGGCCTCCGCGGACTCGTCGGTCTCCAGGATCGACTGCAACCTGTGGCAACGGCGCTACCGCAACGGGGAAGGGGAAGGGTGGCTGGGGATAAGATGGATATGATATATATATATATATGTATAAATAAAGAAATATGGTGGGAATTCATTAGAATTCTATGTTTATGAAGATGGATACATGGTGGGATGATCTAATGTAAATAAGAAGATAGATGTGGAAAAATATATGTACATATACGTATAATGATATGTGTATAATATATATATATATATGATAGATAGATGGTGGGACGATGTTTTGTGAATTTCAAAAATCAATTAATGTGAGAAATTGTATTGAAGTGATGGACAGATCATTATATTGTGGGATATGATTAAATGAGAGAATTGACGCCATCAATGTGATGAAGAACAGAGTTGCGTATATACTTGTTTCAATCCAGAAACGTCACTTTATTTCATTCACTTATCAGCTTTTGTAACTGCCAAACTGTGATGTCCAATGCCATCGAACAAAATGCAAATATAGCTGATATTATCGCTAGGAAAGCAAGCCTCATGAACAGAAGTTCTTTTCAGCTATATCCCATGTTGTGTGGGGTGTTAACTATGGTTGTGCCTGAAATCAAACAATCACTTCCACAGTTTTCCAGTTTTTCTCCACTGGATTCGGCCTGTCGTGCAGCGCCTGCAGCTTCTGCAGGGAATAGGAGGGGCGCCGTCCCAGGCCCTGCTCGCGGGTGAAGAGCTGCTGAAACAGCGCCGCCATGGCGGCAGGACTTCGACGGAGAGGGGGGAGGGACGGAAATCTCGGATGGTTCTGCCGGGGATAGGTGGAAAAGTGTCAAGCTATGTACATATACTTATATATATATATATGTGTGTGTGTGTATGTAAGTATATATATATATACACACATATATATATATATACATAGTTTCCGAACAAAAACTGGGATGGCGACTAGTTGAAGCACATTGAAATCACTGTCCAACGTTGAAAACATCCTGGGGGAACGCAAATCTATGGTGATCTGTGCTGAAGCTGGCCCCCGGGGCATGGCGCCACTGGATGTGCGACCGGAAGATGACTTGGCCATGAAACCACCCACCACAGTCGATTTTGAGTTGCTGCTTGCTGCTTTTGACACTTGAAGATGTTTGTTAATGTTTTTTGTAGTTTGCTTATCATTTATCACTTGTGACGTTTGGGATCATACAAAGAAATAGAGTTGGAACACATGTTTGAGACCACTTACTAGGAGTGTAGACCATCATCTCCAGTAGTGGCTGAGCATCTTTGGCTTCTACCAATTGCATGGTCGGCGTAGCATCAGTCTACAGCTGCTGGCAGAAAGTTGCGCGGGCGTTGGTCTTAACTCCACCCTCAGAAGTCTGGTTATCGAACCTAACTTGCAACGCCATTTATTACAATTGGAAAGATCACCCATTTATTATGGATACCCTTTAGTAGGGTATATCATCATTTATTACCCATTTGGTATTTATTATGGATACCTTTTGGTATTCCAAACATGGCAATGGAAAATCCACCAGTTTTACATGGAGATTTCCGAGCCATCGGTGACCCATGACCCAGTGGATCATCCAACAACAGTGGATCCCCGAGCGTGGGTCGATGGAAAAGTGAATGACACCTCGAAAATCTGGGGAAAACATCATCTGTTTGGAAGCAATGAGATATCAAAATCTAACAGCAGCAAGCACTGAAGAGACAAAGATTACTTCTACAAGTCACATCTATTGGTGTCCTACATGTTTGTTGCCTGATAAGAAAATGATGGAAACTGTTTTGTTTTTTTTTTGCGTTCCTCTTGTTTAATAAAACATATCATTGATTTTCCATATGGCCAATTCTCGGAATCTCTAGGTTCACGAAAAGGACATCAACAAATTTGGGAAGATCCCATCGTTTGCCACACATTTGCACATAATGATGCATGGCAAATTTGGGTGATATTGCTGAAAGGAATATAAGGTAATGGCCATATAATGGGTATTATATCTTCAACAGGGATATCGCTGTTTGGGAAGCTCCCAAACAGCTTACCTTATCCTTATATTTATAATTTCTGAAAGGCCATGTCATAATTTCCGTCCCTGGCCTGTGTCCTATTGCCGGAGTTTTTGCGGTGGATGTAACTGGGGTTAGCCATTCATGAAGATAAGCCATGATAAGCCACATGGGGACTTACTAATGATTACAAACCATTGCTAACTCTGAAAGCCATTACTAACCGTTACAAACTACTATTAACCACTACTAACCACTATTAACCATTACTAACCATTACTTAACCATTACTTAACCATTACTAACCAGGCTTTTTCCAACATGTTCGAAACATCGTTTTCTCAGCTCCCAGGAGACACCCACCTCAAAGGTGGCACCATAGTCCACGGCCAGCATGAAACCTGCCGATTGCTGACGCCCGAAGTCGGGCGGCCAGTAAAGAGACTTGGATGTGGCTTGTCCACATTTATACCCTCTGGTAAATAAACATAGACCCTGAAAATCACCAATGTTTAATGGAAACTAGTCTTCCAACCCCTATCTGCCAGGGTCTATGTTTATTTACCAGAGGGTATGTTGTGAAACATTGATATACCAATAATCCAATATATATAGTATATATATATATGTATATATCATAAATATATATACATATGGGTGAAAAAATGCCACAAAGGCAGAAACAAATATCATGGAATTGAAATCGAGATGGTTATGATATGGGGAAGTTCCATGTTTATGGAAGTACCCCCATAGCTGGATGGTTGAACAAATGGAAAATGCCATCTAGAAATGGATGACGACTGGGGGTACCCCTATTTCAGGAAACCTTCATATGCCCTTTGCAGCTTGAGTGTAGGTAAATTTCACGATTGTTGAATCATCTGACCCATCTTGACCCATTATATATGTCCCAAATATAATTGGAAGTACTATAATACTATAAAATCATGAATTATGCAATATTACAATTTATTGGATTGTAGTATTGGCTGTATCAACTAAACATATTTCTTGGATGTAATCCGATTCAATGTCAGGCCGCAAATATTCTGACGATTCTTTTTTGGAAGGAACCCACAGTGCCATTTTTTCCGTCCGATCTCTGTTCGAGCTTCTGGTTTGAAACTGGTTTGCAACTGGTTTGAAACCCAGAAATCCACCAGGATCCATGTAGGGGAGGTAAGTATAGAGGTAGACTAAGTGGAACAAGATCTTAGGTGGTTTGCTGTTTCCTTGCCATAAATATAATATATATATATATGTATATATATATATATATACACCTTAGGAAGCGTCCTATGCACATTTATAGCTATGCAGTTATACAGTTTGACACATCTAATCCGAAGCTCAGATATTTATATATATATATATATATATTATACTCTCCATCCTTTGTCGAAATCAAGTCCCTGTGTGATCTTCCCAGCGACATGGCAATCACCTGGAGAGTTTCCCTTCCGGAATTTGCTCCGAAATTTATGGACGGCGTGAACCATTGGAACTGATCTGAGAATCACTAGGTAACCGACATTTAAAGGGTGGTAAATAAGAACTATAAACAGCCAACCCCAGCAAGTGCTACTTGTTAAACTTACTGGATGATAATCTCATTATGGCTATGTAAATATGTAGAACTACGCAACTACCGACATCTTATGCTGAGATCTTCATTCCAACAGCGGCCCAGGCATGATGTGGCAGCATGGGGAATTGGCAGAGTATACCCCATCTTTGGTGGGACTATCATGGGATTCAGTGGGAATACTCAGTGGGAATATCATTGTACATATACTGGCTGGTGGTTGACCTACCCCTCTGAAAAATGATGGACTTCGTCAGTTGGGATGATGACATTCCCAACTGAATGGAAAATAAAAGTCATGTTCCAAACCACCAACCAGTATAAAATAACCAACAATTGAACTATATGGGTGTCTGAAAATGGGCTATTGTACTCCCCAAATGACCATCTACAATACAATGATGATACTCATCCCTTTCATTTGAGGTACCATACTTTCAGACAAAGCCAAGTGGTGAACCACTTAACCACCAACAGTAAGGGCAAATCTTCACCAATTCTTGCAAAGCTCACCTGCATGGGGGCGGTTGAAACCTGACACAGCCAAATGCATTCCTATCTTTGTGTGGAACAAGACAATGCTGGTTGGTGGTTTCAACCCCTCTGAAAAATATGAAAGTCAGTTGGGGTTACTATTCCCAATATATGGAAAGTCATAAAAACCATGTTCCAAACCAGCAACCAGAATGGCTTGGGATGGCATTGGAAGGAGCTCCATTGTTGTCATGAACGAGCTACGTCCATGAACCGTCCAACAACCGTCCAACCTAAAAACCGCTAGTAGTGGGACGCAACAAGTGAAAAGATCAGCTCAAAATCATGGGCTGCCCCAAGAATGGACGCTTTGATACTAAAGATACCCAGATTAGTCCCCAATTAAAAAATTATACTATGAATAATGGCCAACATCAGCCAACATCTGTGGATTCAAACGGTTTAACTACATATTAATGGCTCTGGCAAAGCCTCATTTCCAGTAGATTTTCCCCTAAAAAACCACCCCAACCATAGCAGCATCGCCTTCCTTGCCGATCAAGCAATCGACCAGCTCAACGAAGTTGCGCTGGCGGCCCGAAAAAAAGTGGCCCCAAGGAGATGGGCGAAGCATTGCTTGTCTGCGAAACAAAAAACTTGTTGGGTATAATATAGAATATATAATACATGATATATAAGATGATGTATATATATAATATGATATATATATAGTATAGAAAGCTATATTTCATATAATATTGTTGGCTATATTCCATGGTATATTGTTGTGTATCTAACTTAATACTTATATGATATAGAATATATAAAATATGATATATATATATATATAACGGTTGGTGGTTCCAACCATCTTGAAAAATGTGAAAGCCAATGGGAAGTATGATATCCCATATATTATGGAAAAATGTTTGAAACCACCAACCAGTGATATATAAGATATAATATGGTAGCGTATATACCCAAAAAAACTCTGGCTGAAACCATGAAATTGAATGTTGTTCCAAAAAAACTAATTCACCAGCACTGCCAATGCCAAACCTCACTGAAAAAACATGGCCTTGTTTGGTGGTTGTCTCGGCTGAGCACATGTCAAGTACCAGTCCCGCTTGCAGATACTGGAGTATCTGGCTGAATTCTGCTAATCATATGTGTATCTATATCTAAGGAAATGTTTCCCAGACCCCAATCATCAACAAGGATATAACCATTCACCACCAAAAATAATGTCTCTCTTGCGGGGTTCATAATATGGGTGTTTCCCTGAATTAAAGTTAATTAGAATACATCCAAACCATTTGCTTCCATTACAAATGACCATATTTGTGTTTTAAAAATGGTCCTTCCATGACTTCGGAAACCTTCATATTAGCCCATAATTAGACGTTCTATTTTACATATTTCATAGATATCATATGTCACTATGAATAGTTCTATGTAATTATCTATGTTGTCTGACTCTACCCTCTGGTAAACTAACATAGACATAGCCATGGAAAATCACCAATTTTTTAATGGGTAAATCAACTATAAATGGCCATTTTCAATAGCTATTTTGACATAACCAGAGGGTATCTACGCAGATTTCCTAAGTCATGGTGGGTAGCCTCAAATCATCCAAGTCAGATCATTTTCGTACTTGGAGATCACCCATGGGAAATCTCCAGAAACACCCACAAACCCTCTGGTAAACTAACATATCTATTGGGATTTTATAGTGATTTAATGGGATATGATTGGTATATACTACCCTCTGGTAATTTGTTGCACTTTGCGACATAGAAAATGGCCATAGAAATTGTTGATTTACCCCCCCAAAAAACATGGTGGATCTTTCCAGTTCGTTATGTAAACGTTTACCAGAGGGTAGATATAATTATCTATAAAAGTACAGCACATCCTCCCCATTGAGAAACAACCGACTTCTGCGGGCGATGCCCAAAGGCTCATGGTTAAAAGAGAGACCTATATGATGCAACGTATTGAACCAATTCTGGGACTTCGACATTAAGTCATGAACCGACAAAGCGGACGCTATTGGCCCAGAAAGCAAACAGAAGGGAAACAAACATAGCGAACAACTCAAAGAGTCACTCAGTTGACTGCCCGGCTCCGGTCAAGAACTCAGAAGCCGCAGTTGCAATCCCTCCTAACATGCTTGTGATTCCAGCTTCTCCCTTGCGTTTGGTGCTTTTGGCCATGACCTCGCCAAATGTCTTCGCTGCGTCATCAATATCCAAATCCATAGGGTGGTAGGTCTCATTGTACGTAGAAGCTGCTTGATCTACTGAGTCCTTCTGGGTACCCTCTGTTTCACAACGAGAACCTGGCTGGCACCGTCCTCTTCATGATCCGCTGGCACTCTTCAAACGAAGCATCCGGGCTTCACCACTTGGCTGTTTCCAGCTTATCAGCCCATTAATAATCACTGATAATCACATTAATAATCCCATTCATAGACCATTTTAGGAATTATATACATATAACATATATATATATATATATGTATGATTTTCAGAAGCACCAATAACATATATAGTTATCATTAATGATCTATACACATAATATTATTTATACACAAATAAAGCATCACCGCTGGTGAGAAACAAAAAAACGCCCGGCCCAATCCTTCCGTGGCACCTCTCCAGGACGCAGCAGGAGTTGGATATTGGGATAACCCAAGGGCCTAACCCATGGGAGAACCCAAATGGTGCCGGTCATCATGGAAACAACATGGGAAATATATGGAATATATAGGATATTATGGCATAGAGTTAGGAATATTTTTGTGGATGTTGTTGGGGATGGAGTTGAAGATTGGAAATTAGAGCCTTCCATGAGTTGCTTCTGCAAAATGAGTTTCCCATGATCTCATGGTAATTTTGTGATCTTTTATAGGATATAATGGGGGCACAATGGGGAAAATTACCCTCTGGTAAACTAACATAACTATAGGAAATCACCATTTTCAATGGGAAAATCCACTATAAATGGTCATTTTCATTACCAGAGGGTAAGACATTGTCACAACAAGACCAACATCGTATGGGGATACCAATCGCCAAGCTATTGGGATCAGATGTGATTCGTGGATTTTTTCGAACGGGCTTGTTGGAGGAGACTGAGATCGAATGCACAACTAATTTTTAGGAACGTATGATTCATACAGCAAGAGGAATATATAGTTGGACAACCCCATAGATTGAAATATGTGGATATAGGATGATATGATGTGACTTCACATATCATGAAATTGATGTTTGCTGGCGTTGATCTTGATTTCACGATCTTATATAGGACTTTGCCACCAGCTCACCATGGTTGTTTCAATACTAAGCCATGGTCATCCATGACTTGGATGATAACTGGGGGGTACCTCCATGACTTAAGAAACCCCCACTTTAGTATATCAGTGTATGTAGTATATCATTGCACATCCACGAAGGTTGGTGACAACAAGCACGGTTTTATGCTAAACATCATAAAAACCATCATGTCGCTTACCACTAGACCCCGGATCGACAAAACCGGCCCCAACCAGTTATAAGTTCATTAGTTTCACCCATCAAACTACAAGCAAATCTACCTGTTCAATCCTGAACCAAAGTAATCAAAATCATTTAAGGCAACTTATCTTTTGTTTGGGCCACACAAAGTATAAGCCATGAACTATATCCAATGCTGCTTGGGGGATATAGCCCAGCTACTAAGCCACTGCCCATTTGGAGGTTTCCTAAGTCATGGGAAAACCCCTAAATCATCATCCATCATCATCCATCATCATCCATCATCCTCCATCATCATCCATCATCATCCATATGGTTTTTCAAGGGGGATCCTAAATAGGGGTAACCCTAAATCATGCATTTACCCCTAAATCATCATCCATAGTTTTTTTTCAATGATATATTTTGGGTAAAAACCAACCATTGATATATAGAAACCATTTTGGGTAAAAACCAACCATTGTTTGGTTCCCATGTTGAAAACCAACCATTTTGCGGATCCCGTAGTCATTCGGAAACCATCGACAGCTTCCGGAACCTGTAGATGTCGATGAGGCGCTGAATTCGAGCCTGTTTTCGTTGGGGCCAGGTGGGGCCAGTTGAATCGGGATCCACTAAAAATCACCCATTGATATATAGAAATATATGGTTGCTTAATGGGATTTATAGGGATTTCATGGGATTAGAGTGGAATTATTACGGGAAATTGAGTTTGATCTACCCTCTGGTAATTTAACGTAGCTATGGCAAATCACCATGTGTTTTTACAGATTTTATAGGTAAATCTTTGTAAATCATCTTTAAACATGCCGTTTTCCATAGCTAGGTCAATAACCAAAGGGTGTATATTATATATATATATACTATACAATATTTGATGTAGTTGAATACTAAAGCGTGTGTTTAATTGCTTTGTGATTTTGAGATGATTCACCCTATTATCAAAAAAAGACATGGTTTTCCGTCGGCCTGTGAGGATATAATCATGCACCATCGTGCACCCAAAAAGGTGGTTTTCAATATATATATATATATATATGTGTATATTGGATGCCACTCCGTATGTTGATGATCTACTTATTTTAACTTTATGTTCATAATGTTTCTACCTTTTTGGGGACCTCTTCAACCTACAACCGGTATTATAGATCCATTTTTTTTTTGCCACCGAAAATTGCCGGCATCTCTTTGCCTTGTCCCAGGTTGCGATGTCTCCAGCATTGGAGGTCCCAGGATAGGCTGCCATCATTTTTCGGGTCGTTTGCATCGAACACGGTCGAACTATGTCGTTTGCTGTTGTTTGCTATATATATTGTATGAGCTAATGTATGTTGTTTACAAACATATTATATATATAACTATATATATAATTATATATATATCCATTATGTGTATTTGTGTATATATAAGCTATCTGCAATCGTTTCGCATACCGGTTCCCTACAGTCACCTGGTTGATACACCCAAAACCATCCGAATCGCGCCTCATGCACCTCAAACCACCACCTGGATAGCTTCAGACGTCCCAAGGGATACCTATTGACTTATGATTTATAGGGGTTTATAGGGGGTTATTGTATTTCATTGAAGATTATGATCATCCAGAGTAATCCTAACTCCTAACTTTTCAGGTCTTAAAGGTTGTCAAGCGATTCTTAGGTCTTCCACCCTCCAGTGTCCAATTTTGTGCCTCGGACAAGCAGCCAATGTCAAGACAGCCAGGACAAAGTATTGGACACCTTTAACCAGTTCATTCATACAATTTATTTAATACTGTATAATATATATATATATAGTACTGTATAATATATATATATAATACTGTATATATATAATACTGTATATATATATATAATACTGTATATATATAATACTGTATATATATATATATATATATACTGGTTGGTGGTATGCCTACCCCTCTGAAAAATATGAAAGTCAGTTGGGATGATGACATTCCCAAGATATGGAACAATAAAAAATGTTACAAACCACCAAACCAGTATATATATATATATGCATATGGCAGCCGACATCAGCCGATATTCTTGGTTTGAAGCCACTGAAAAGGACTAATCAATGGAGCGTCATCCTCCCAAACATGGCTGAAGATCTATACCCTATACCTATGTATATATACGAACCTGGATATACACCCTGTTTGAAACCACTATGTTTTATTGGTTGATATGATACATACATAATCATAGAGTGTCACCAAGTAAAAACTAGAATGAACAGTAATTGTAATGTCAAATTAAATTGTAAGTCAACATAGAGCATCCCCATCCAGTTGATCTGGTTGGTTCCCAGTTCTCCTGCTTAAAAGGTCAACTTTTAATTTTAGCGGTTATGTTTCTAGAACCGCGATGTTAGTGGAACGGGAACAAAAACTGAAAGTCAACCGCCATATCCTATGAATTAAGTTTCCATTGATTTCCCATGAATTTCCCATGAATTTCCCATGAATTTCCCATGAATTAGGCTTTATTCCCATGACTTTTTGATGTACAAACATGTTCACATCCAAGCGGCTTCAAGTCCTCACAGCGCCGTTCCGATAAGGGCACGGGCACCTCAGAAGGCGAAGCGAAGTCCGAGAGGTCCAATGGAGGGTGAAGCAACAAAGATGAGTAAACAATAGTAAACATATGTAACCATTGGGATTGTCATGGATTTTATCCATGGATTTTATCGTGACGATGAGGTAAAACAAAATGACATTTTACATGATATGTCATGGACGATTTCACCAAACCATGCTATCGGGTATCCCCGAACTAAGAGACTGGGGCGGCCCACATGTTTATCGTTCAGGTGAGAATGGGGATGTTACCACGAAATTTTGCATGCAACCAACATCAGCCAAGGGGAGGTTGCAAAAATAGGTCGGAAAATGTCTGCCCACGCTCGTGTTCATGGCGTAAGTATTTCAGGATCAGCAATCCCCATGGACTGTTGGGCTATATCCCCATGGATTTATTAACCATCAACCACCATTAACCACTATTAACCACTATTAACCACCATTAACCACCATTAACCACCATTAATATGGGATACTCCCAAATCCAGTGGTTGAGAAAAGTGGTTCCGGTTTTTTCATGGCCATTGGAGCAAATCACAATCATTGGATCCAAACATGATCCCCGAAAAAAGGCTATGGACCAACTTGTTGTTCCCAACTGGCGCGGATGGTCCAAGACTAACTTAACCTTGTTGGCAAATGATATTGTTTCATTAAACCATCAAATTTAGTAGTTCATCATCAAGTTTTCTCCATTGAAACCGCGTTTTTGGGGTAGACGTTGCTTTCACACAAATACACAAATGGTATAGCCCCATTGTATCACTATCTTTAGAGCCCATTTGAATGGTTTGCTTAAGTCCCAACCCTTTATCCAACTGTATCTATACCCATAGAATATCCCCAATGGTTCCCTCACTACATGACCAAAAAAAATACATCATTTCTTTACACATGACATTGCACTATTGTGGATTAAATTGAAAGAATTGATCTACAGGGCTACATCTACAGGGTGGTACCCCTGTCATGTTTTTTAAAGCCCCAGAAAAACTATAGATGTAACCACCCCGGCTGACGTCGTGATTTCAGTTGTGGGGGCCAACTGAGCTAAGGAACTCGGGTAGGGATGATTCCCCTAAAAACATAAACACCATGGTTCCAGGCTTCAAAAGTCACGACGTGAGGTCACCAAAAAAATTGCCCAGTAAATTGGTGAATGACATCTCCCCATGATATTCCAATATCTATTTCACCATCAAGTCTTTGGGACAACCATTAACCACTATTAACCACTATTAACAGTTATTAACCACCATTAACCACCATTAACCAACATTAACCAACATTAACCACCATTAGCAACCATTAGCCACCATTAACCACTATTCACCACCATTAACCACTATTAACCACCATTAAACAACATTAACCAACATTAACCACCATTAGCAGCCATTAGCCACCATTAACCACTATTCACCACCATTAACCACTATTATCCACCATTAACAGTTATTAACCACCATTAACCACCATTAACCACTATTAACCACCATTAACCACTATTAACCACCATTAACCACTATTAACCACCATTAACCACTATTAACCAACATTATTCACCATTCACCACCATTAACAGTTATTAACCACCATTAACAGCTATTTACCACTATTAACCACCATTAACCACTATTAACCACTATTAACCACCATTAACCACTATTAACCAACATTAACCACCATTAACCACCATTAACAACCATTAGCCACCATTAACCATTATTCACCACCATTAACCACTATTAACCACCATTAACCACTATTAACCACCATTAACCACCATTAACAGTTATTAACCACCATTAACTACTATTAACCACCGTTAACCACCATTTACAGTTATTAATCACTATTAACCACCATTAACCACTATTAACCACCATTAACCACTATTAACCACCATTAACAGTTATTAACCACCGTTAACCACCATTTACAGTTATTAATCACTATTAACCACCATTAACCACTATTAACCACCATTAACCACTATTAACCACCATTAACCACTATTAACCACCATTAACCACTATTAACCACCATTAACCACTATTAACGACCATTAACAGTTTTTAACCACCATTAACCACCATTAGCCACTATTAACCACCATTAACCACTATTAACCACCATTAACCACTATTAACCACCATTAACCGCCATTAACAGTTATTAACCACCATTAACTACTATTAACCACCATTAACCACTATTAAATACCTTTAACCACTATTAACCAACATTATTCACCATTAACCACCATTAACAGTTATTAACCACCATTAACCACCATTAACCACTATTAACCACCATTAACCACTATTAACCACCATTAACCACTATTAACCAACATTATTCACCATGAACCACCATTAACAGTTATTAACCACTATTAACCACTACTAACCACCATTAACCACTATTAACCAACATTATTCACCATTAACCACCATTAACAGTTATAATATTAACCACCATTAACTACTATTCACCACCATTAACCACTATTAAACACCTTTAACCACTATTAACCAACATTATTCACCATTAACCGCCATTAACAGTTATTAACCACCATTAACCACTATTAACCACCATCATCCACTATTAACCACCATTAACCACTATTAACCAACATTATTCACCATTAACCACCATTAACAATTATTAACCACTATTCGCCACTATTAACCACCATTAACCACTATTAACCACCATTAACCACCATCAACCAACATTATTCACCATTAACCACCACTAAGAGTTATTAACCACCATTAACTATTATTAACCACCATTAACCACTATTAACCAACATTATTCACCATTCACCACCATTAACAGTTATTAACCACCATTAACAGCTATTTACCACTATTAACCACTATTAACCACCATTAACCACCATTAACCACCATTAACCACCATTAACCACTATTAACCACTATTAACCACCATTAACTATTATTAACCACCATTAACCACTATTAACCACCATTAACCACTATTAACCAACATTATTCACCATTAACCACCATTAACCACTATTCACCACCATTAACCACTATTAACCACCATTAACCACCATTAACCACTATTAACCACCATTAACCACTATTAACCACCATTAACCACTATTAACCACTATTAACCACCATTAACCACTATTAACCAACATTATTCACCACTAACCACCATTAACCACTATTAACCAACATTAACCAACATTAACCACCATTAACCACCATTCACCACGATTAACCACTATTAACCACCATTAACCACTATTAACCAACATTAAACACTATTAACCACCATTAACCACTATTAACCACCATTAACCACTATTAACGACCATTAACAGTTTTCAACCACCATTAACCACCATTAGCCACTATTAACCACCATTAACCACTATTAACCACCATTAACCACTATTAACCACCATTAACCACTATTAACCACCAACCACTATTAACCACCATTAACCACTATTAACCACCATTAACCACCATTAACCACTATTAACCACCATTCACCACTATTAACCACCATTAACCACTATTAACCACTATTAACCACCATTAACCACCATTAACCAACATTATTCACCATTAACAACTATTAACAGTTATTAACCACCATTAACCACCATTAACCAACATTACTCACCATTAACCGCAATTAACAACCATTAACCAACATCATTCACCAGTAACAACCATTAACACTTATTAACCACCATTAACCACTATTAACCACCATTAACCACTATTAACCAACATTATTCACCACCATTAACAGTTTTTAACCACCATTAACCACTATTAACCACCATTAACCACCATTAGCCAACATTATTCACCATTAACCACCATTAACAAATATTAACCACCATTAACCACTATTAACCACCATTAACCACTATTAACCAACATTATTCACCATTAACCACCATTAACCACCATTAACCACCATTAACCACTATTAACCACCATTAACCACCATTAACCACTATTAACCACCATTAACCACCATTAACCACTATTAACCACCATTAACCACTATTAACCACCATTAACCACTATTAACCACTATTAACCACCATTAACCACTATTAACCAACATTATTCACCACTAACCACCATTAACCACTATTAACCAACATTAACCAACATTAACCACCAATAACCGCCATTAACAGTTATTAACCACCGTTAAACACTATTAACAGTTATTAAGCATTATTAACCACCATTAACCACTATTAACCAACATTAACCACCATTAACCACCATTAACAGTTATTAACCACCGTTAACCACCATTAACAGTTATTCATAACCGCTATGAACCACCATTAACCACTATTAACCAACATTAACCAACATTAGCCACCATTAACCACCATTAACAGTTATTAACCACCATTAACAGCTATTTACCACTATTAACCACCATTAACCACTATTAACCAACATTATTCACCACCATTAACAGTTTTTAACCACCATTAACCACTATTAACCACCATTAAACACCATTAACCAACATTATTCACCATAACCACCATTAACAAATATTAACAACCATTAACCACTATTAACCACCATTAGCCACCATTAACCACCATTAACAGTTATTAACCACCGTTAACCACCATTTACAGTTATTAACCACTATTAACCACCATTAACCACCATTAACCACCATTAACCACCATTAACCACTATTAACCACTATTAACCACCATTAACCACTATTAACAACCATTAACCACCATTAACCACCATTAACAGTTATTAACCACCGTTAACCACCATTAACAGTTATTAACCACCGTTAACCACCATTAACAGTTATTAACCACTATTAACCACCATTAACCACTATTAACCACTATTAACCACCATTAACCACCATTAACCACTATTAACCACCGTTAACCACCATTAACAGTTATTAACCACCGTTAACCACTATTAACCACCGTTAACCACCATTAACAGTTATTAACCACAGTTAACCACCATTAACAGTTTTTAACCTATATTAACCACCATTAACAGTTACTAACCACCGTCAACCACCATTAACACTTATTAACCACTATTAACCACCATTAACCACCATTAACAGTTATTAACCACCATTAACCACTATTAACCACCATTAACAGTTATTAACCACCGTTAACCACCATTTACAGTTATTAATCACTATTAACCACCATTAACCACGATTAACCACTATTAACCACCATTAACCACCATTAACCACTATTAACCACCGTTAACCACCATTAACAGTTATTAACCACCGTTAACCACCATTAACAGTTATTAACCACTATTAACCACCATTAACCACTATAAACCACTATTAACCACCATTAACCACCATTAACCACCATTAACCACCATTAACCACTATTAACCACTATTAACCACCATTAACCACTATTAACAACCATTAACCACCATTCACAGTTAATTATTAACCACCGTTAACCACCATTAACAGTTATTAACCACCATTAACCACCATTAACCACCATTAACCACTATTAACCACCATTGACCACCATTAACAGTTATTAACCACCATTAACCACTATTAACCACCATTAACCACCATTAACAGTTATTAACCACCGTTAACCACCATTAACAGTTATTAACCACTGTTAACCACCATTAACCACGATTAACCACTATTAACCACCATTAACCACCATTAACCACTATTAACCACCGTTAACCACCATTAACAGTTATTAACCACCGTTAACCACCATTAACAGTTATTAACCACTATTAACCACCATTAACCACGATTAACCACTATTAACCACCATTAACCACCATTAACCACTATTAACCACCGTTAACCACCATTAACAGTTATTAACCACCATTAACCACTATTAACCACCGTTAACCACCATTAACCACCATTAACCACCATTAACCACCATTAACCACTATTAACAACCATTCACCACCATTAACCACTATTAACCAACACTAACCAACATTAGCCACCATTAACCACCATTAACAGCTATTAACCACCATTAACCACTATTAACCAACATTAACCAACATTAACAGCATCTCACTTGCCAGGCTCGTATTGACCACAACCGGGTCTTTGGTTAACTTCGCCATGTTCAGAACCATCTTGGCCTGCAAGAGGAGGAGGTTTTTCTCCATGCGTGGCGTCGCACCTCGTGTTGCAGCCGTTGCACTTGTTCCTCCAGGTCTACCCGAACTTCTGTCTCTCCGTTCAAAGCCTTGATGTGCTGGAGGTTTCTTTCCTCCGTTGGTGAATGACATCTCCCCATGATATTCCAGCTGCAATTCACCGGGCCTGGGCCTGGCCATGGTTGCCGTGGTGGCGGCGCCTGTGCTGGCGGCGGCGGAGGCTGCTTTCTTTGAGCAGGCTGCTTTCTTTGAGGCGGCGGCGTCATGGGCGGGTTGCCGCCGCCCAAGATCCAGTTGGCGCCACCGACAGCGGCAACGGTGAACGGCCTTTGCGCCATAAAGAAAAATAAACACGAAGAAACAAATCTTGGGCCCAAAAAAGAATATCATCCGAAACAAGAATCTCATCCGAAACAAGAATCTCATCTATCACATCTATGTGTCTCTACCAGTAGTACTGCACGAGGCGGTGGCGGAAGTTTCCAAGATAGGCAACCTATAGGAGAATTGAAAAGGCTGCGACGCACAACTGGCAGGGCGATCAATTGCCGAACTGAAAGGATTTTGGAGCTTCGGTGTCTACGATGCAATATCTAGTTCACCATCAAGTCTTTGGGACAACCATTAAACAACATTCACCACCATTACTTTGTCGGCTCGGCCGGGGAAAAAGCGCCTGCCGTGTCGTGGCGGAGGTCAGGAACAGCAGCTCCAAGTCCACCGCCTCGTCGCGGGCGTCGGAGTTTCAGCGACAGAGGATGATATAATATGATAGAATCTACATCTATATATATATATATTTATTTACTTATTATTATTAATTATTATTATATGATATATACATATAGTCATTGCTTTTATGGGATGCATGGGATTTAATGGGATTTAATTTGATTTAATGTATTGTGATTTGATGGTTGGGGAAACTTTTGGATACACAGTTTAAACAAGTATCTGGATCCCTCCAGTAAACTTAGAGTTTACGGATGACTTATCATATGCCTAAAGAAGTGTGCAAAATTCCACAGCGAACTGTTTACCAGAGGTACCATATTTACATCATTTACTAGTTCATTGAATATGTTATTATCTTATTGTATTTAGGTATAATACAGCTCCAAAGATGTCTAAAGTCATTGAAGATGTTGATTCACCAAACTGGAGAGGCTTTAGATTTCACTGCAAAATGCTTCAACAATCAGTATTGTAGAATGAGGATTTCACCACCGTAAACCTATATTATATATAATATAGATATTATATATAGATATATTATAGATTTGACAAATGTTAGAACCCAGCAAAATCTACAGTGGCTTACTTGCATCTGGGCAAAGAGTTAAGTCCGAAACCCACAGTCTGCATTTTTGTTGGGGATCATTCCCCTCACTTATAATCATTTCTTTAATGGTGCGATCGTTTCGAGGTCGCTAAAAATTACCCACATTCCAACTGTTTGTTGCTAATCCAAAAACAGTTCCGCTCTGGCAAATTAACATAGGAAAATCACCATTTGTAGGTAGTTCATCATGTTTATCCATACAAATGGACCATTTTCATCAATTTTCCAGTTCGCAAACTGTTTGTTTGGAGGCTAATTTGCCGGTTGAATGGATCTGCTGAATACTTCCCATGATGCTCGCACCAGTGTCACAGCCGCAGCGACATTCCGACGTTCGAAACAAAAAGGGCGCCTCCCGCAATTGGTGTCGAAGCATTCGATAGACCTGGGGGGACATCTGAAGGTGTCGAAAGGCTGCACCTGGAGCAAGGTCTCTACATATATATATATATGTAGGGTAAACACTGTATAATATAAATATATATATATGTAACATTATGTAATTTTGTTGTAACCCCGCAAAGTATACAACGTAATCAATTGTTTTTCGCTCTTTTAGTTGGCTTTTATATGTATTCATTTTCCATGTGGTTGACTATTTTTGGGATGTTCTACAAATATAATTATATAAGTCAGCTTGTTTTGATGTCAGTTTATGTGCCACAAATGCCAGAGCTGGGGTTTTTAGGATGCCTTTTTTAAGGATTCGAAACTTGTTAAAAAATGGGCATGTCTCGGAAAGCCACAAGGGCAGGATCTAGGGCCAAACCAGCAAATGGCGCGTGGCGTAGTCCACAGAAACCTAAAAAACACATGCGTGAGTGCTGGCAAAACATGTGTGCCACGTCCATTCCAATAGTATCCAATAATCTCAATGACAGGTTGTGTATTACATATATTACATGGTGTCCGTGTCCATCCAGGCGCTGCTCCCCTGATCCCCCACCTGCCGAGGGAGCACCACAGAGTTCTGGAAATTCTCCTGGCACAGATATCACTGGAACAACAAAAATCCAGCAACTGAAGATTAAGCACCCGGATATAACTGGGATATAAACATCTGGGCCTAGAAAAATCAAGACCACAACAGAACAGTATGGCAAGCAGCTCTAATGATAATAATTGGGATATAACTGGGATAAGGTAGAAATTTACAAACGCGCAGAGTTTTGAAACAACAGGTCGTTGGGAAAGCACCATTTCTGGTCTCCCATCTGCCCAAGGAAGGGAACGGCACATGGATTGTTAGCTGCATGCCGAACCTGTCAAAACTTAGTATCAATTGAATACGGACATATAGAATCATGCCTGCTGAATGTTCGGTAATAATGTATGTGCATTGCAATGTATACAGTCTATATAAGCAAATAAATATAAACACAATGATGCATATGGCTGTATAAATACGTGTGTTTACAATCGATTTACGAAAAATATGTGATATATGTTCAACATGTACACAGTGTATGTATACCATTGTATATTATGTATGTATACAATTATACTATATATATAGTGTGTATATGCAGCATCTACAAGTATACCTATACACAGTGTGTATATATATATATATATGAATATATGTATCTATGTATGCATTATCATTAGAAGTACAATTGTCATTATTAGCATTATGCACCACACACATGCATATACAACACACATGCCATGGCTGCAATGGGTGCCTGGAAGGAAGGGACCAACCAAATACCACCTTATAATTGTAGATCTACTTACATCGACCGAATAATTAAGATATCTAATTCCACAAATTTGAAAACAAACCTTTTCCATATGAAACACACACATCATAAGTGTATCAAACGATATGTAATTCCCCACCACCAAAAAAGACATTGAAGGGTCTACAATATTATGGCTGGGTCTATCTATGTTTAGGATTCCTGAAGGGATTTGACCTCCTTCAGGCCTCCAATTCGTTGACCATTCCCTGAAGACGTTGACAAAGCTCTGCATCCTGCAAATTCGCGTTGAAATGCGTTGAATCAAACGTTGATTGATAGGCATGTGGGCTGCTGCTTGAACAAGCTGATGTATTGGTTGATGTATTGGTTGATGTATTGGTTGATATAATAGGGGGGTTAATATATTGGGTGATATGTTGTCAATATTGTGGGAGGGGGATTGCTAATTATTGCTTATTCTTGGTTGACCAATGGTGGTTCAATCCCTTTCAACATCATCAATTCACACAGCTGAGCTGTTTCAACATTGGGATCATCGTTCCTGGCAGGATGGAAGTCACAAGGTGTTTGAAACCAACCACTATATCATACATATATGTATTATGTACATATATTATATATAATATAATATAATATAATATAATAAAATATAATATAATATAAATATAATATAATATAAATATAAATATAATATAATATAAATATAATATAATATAAATATAAATATAATATAATATAAATATAATATATAAAAAAAATATAATATAATATAATATAATGTAATATAATATAATATAATATAATATAATATATATATATATTTATTATAATATGATACAAACGTATCATTATTAACTGCATAATACGGATTCGAGCCATAAAGAATTTACTGCACACCTGTCAGATAGGTCTCAAGCGCCATGCCAACAAAAGCAACAAACAATCAAATCCCACTTGGGTCGTTCTCCCGCCCTGCCAGAAGCACCTTCCGCAAACGCAGCCGCATGTTGTGTGCTGCCGCGGGAAGGTGTAGGTCATGGTGATTCCTGGCAGGTATGACACCAGCTACGAGACCCATATCCGGGTACCAAAATTCACCAGAGGAGTAGGGGTACCAAATTGTCAGGCAGACCCGGTTCTGCATTCTTACCCTCTGGTAAACTAACATAACTATAGAAAATCACCATTTTTAATGGGAAAAGCCACTATAAATGACCATTTTCAATAGCTATGTAAACGTTTACCAGAGGATAACCAACATTTTCATGCGCTGAGGCTCGGCATCCAAATGATCAGACGACTTCTGTGCTTTGCAAAGTGTTCACCTCCATGGATCCCGTCCGACCCCCTCCGGAACCATGACAGCAAGGGATCACGTCTCTCCATCTGAAAAGTATTAAAAAAGACACTTAATTGTGGATGAATATACGCTATGAATCTTAAGGTAAATTCCAATCTTTTCGTTTCAGGGATTCTCTAAATATGATATGATACAATATTTCATGTAATATGTAGTTATATAGTCCCCATGTCTTCAACCATGTTACCAATGTTCAAACCACACCAACTTCCCTTAGCTGGATTTATAACCCCGAAAATAAAGTATGCACACCTGTTTGTGTATATGTGTTCTGCATTTTCAAAACATCAGTTTCTCGTGATTATTCACCAAGCAAAAGGCGGCAAAGAAGCCAAGGAGGAACCAAACAGCTGTCGCTTGGCCGCCACGGAATGTTATATAGGTCTTTACAATTTCCTAAATTGATTAGATACAATAATAACCCCCACCCCATGAACAAAAGTATGCCAACTGCTTGTGCCTGCAATGTGGTTTCAAAATCTTTATCACTCCTGATTCTTGTGAATCTAACCTCCCAAAAAAAAAACAGATCCAGGTCCTGAAGATTCCTGAAGTTCTATTTCCAACAAACTCGGAAGGGGGGTAGCCCAGAACTCAAGCCAACACCTAAACAACAAGCTGACAATCACTGTTTGAACCTCCCAAAATCCTTTCTAGAGTCAATTATTTTTCAATTTCAAACTAATTTAGACTCCAGTTCGAAGTCAGTGGGAATGTTTTCTGGAGGCAAGTTGAATTCAAATTCAAATAAGTGAGTTCAAACTGAAAGTCAAATTTCTATTCAAGTTCAACTCAAACCCAACTTCCATTCGAAAACTATATATCCATATCCATTTCAAAGAAAATCCAAGATTTTTTTTCCTGAGGGGATCAAAACCTACCCTCCAGGTGAAGCCCCAGTTTGGGCCTTGAATCTCAGGTTTTGGGAACATTTGGTATCGATATCAAACTGTAGGCACTCCCGAGGCTAAACACACATACACGACAAAGGTGGTGAAAACCCATCAGGTTAAACCCTAGGAGCATAATCTGCAAATGATGTTTTTTCCATATCAAAGTGTAAACGCTTACAAGGGTAATCCATTCCAACCCGTGGTACCATGGTTCAAAGCATCATGTTTCCAACATTTTTCCATCATTTTCCATGATTTTCTATCATTTTCCCAGCCATGGATCTGTTCGTGTCGGAATTCCCAGTTCAGGGATCCCACGATCCAGTTCCGTGGATCCCAGTTATCCCTGTTGCGCACATGATCTCGCTGAGGGCGATGACCATGGCCAAGCAACTGCCTCGGTGCCACCGCTAGGCGAACGTTGTGGTTTTATGGAGGTTCATGGCTGTGATCAACCTTAGCAACATGTATGGCTATCAACGGATTTATGGATATGTTTTTATCTAATAAAAATCTGGATTCTTGGAAACAGGTATAGGACCAGGAACAGACTCCAAGAAAACAGTCGGTTGTAACATATAACCTCAAAAAATGATGTTCTTGAAAGGACAATGCGGTCACGAGCACCATGCTGCGCTGATGTATCTGGCCTCTGGGTCTTGGCTATGAAATATTTTAGTTTCATCGGCAGGCCGATGCTATTGGTTCTTTGGAATCAAGAATCTGCTTGGACATGCTACCGGATTCGAAATCTGCAAAGATTTCTCTTTTCGGCGGCGCAAGAGGATGCAGGCTTGAACAAATCAAGAAACATACCCGATGCTCTCACAGCAGATCGCACGAGCAGCAGCCTCAAGGGCAGAGCAGGAGCAGGATCAACTCTTGAGAATTACCACCAAAAATGACAAAGGGGTGGAAAGGTTGAAGCTGTCACCCACGATCAAACCAATGGTCAACGGCCATGAAACTGATAACTTGAACTGAAGCGGGCTCGTGAACAGGAAGAGGCATTTTCCCGCACTAGTGGCTTGTAATGATGCACCTTGCATCAAGTGCACCTGCCGCGGCTTCATTTCAAGAAGCTTTGCCCCCAAGTTGACAGTAGGGTGCATCATCGAGCGCAACCATCAACAATAGAAAAGCTACTCCCCGTAGTGAAAAGGTGTCTTCACCAGCTCCAAGGCAATCTTGACCGGGTAAACTTGCGATGCTTTGACCTCACGCCGCTCGTCAGATTAACTTTGACCGTTTGCCGTTCTCAAGAACAAAAATGAGAAAATTCTTTGTTAACACAAAGGAAATTTGCATTTGACTGTTCAAGTCGCTCTGTCACGTTTGCCGGCCACTGCCTTCTTTCCAGTGGCTGGGTCAAAGTTCACAGTGCAAAGCTGGGTGTCTTGATCGGATGAGGTCTTGCTTACCCTTGGTTTCTGCGCTGCCTTGGTCTTTGGTTTTGCGACAGCCTTTGCTCCGGAAGTTTGATCTGTTGCCTTTGCTTTCTTCTGGCGAGCGCTCTTCAGGTTGAGCTCATACCAGCGCCCTCCTCATGGCCGACACAAAGGCTGCAGTTGCCGCGGCCGAGCAGGAATTTGGCTGCGCTTGATAGCGCGGATCCTGTTCCACTCAGATTGATTTCAGTGACAGGACATCGCCAAGCCGATGAAAAAAATGGTGAAGGAAAAGGCAGGACATCGGCAAGCCGATGAAAAGCGATAAGGATCGGTGTGCCGATGAAAAATTGCAACCGTGTAAACAGAATCCGGTGCAAACAAACGGTTCCCATGACCCAGCCTTTTGGCACAAGACCTGCCAAAGAAGAGCAATCATTGACTTGCTTTCATGTTGGGTCATGTTTGCAGTGGCACATCAGGAACGCCTACCAATCCTACATGAGTAGTGGTCACGGGCTAAACAGCTAAACAAAAATCTGACATGCTGATGCTGCTCCAGGTCCTGCCCAAGGGTCTGAGACTGAGATCTTTTAATGCAGGGCTGGGCCTCAAGAAGCGGAGATGCGGCAAGCAGTGAAGCATGAGTCCTTCTGTCTCTAGCAGCATAAATGCAAGTACCGCGTTGTCCATATTTATATTTAAAGCATGCGCGCGTGATTTGGCTTATGTTGGACAAACCGCGTCGGACTCTGTGTGCTTATGTTGCAAAAATCGCGTCGGACTCTGTATGCTTGCGCATTGTCAAAGCATATGTTGGAAAGACCTCGTGGGACTCTGTATGCTTATGTTGGACAAACCCCGTCGGACTCAGTATGCGTAGGATGGATAAATCCCGTCGGAATGCAGCGTTGCACGCGCAACGCCCGACCTAGAAGTTGGACGTAGAAGTTTTGCCGGACGTAGAAGTTTTGGGGCCATCTATGTGGAGCATCCAGACATCTGCGGGGAGCAGATAACATTTCTTGAGGTCAGGCGTTGCACACGCAACGCCTGACCAGCAACTTTTTTTGAAACTCTGTGCTCCAGATGGTTGGGGTGGGCATCCAAACCTTTTGCTTTCTACAGAAATTGGGGTCTGGCGTTGAGTGCGCAACGGCTGACCTTCAGGGTACGGGATTCACACCCCCCAACATGTCAGGATGTCCCACGAGTAATCCATCAAAATCTCACAGCAGGCTTGGGTCCCAGCCTTCCGCTCTCTTCTCCCAGGGCCCATCTGCTCCAAGAGTCCTGCCGCAACCAAGCACCTAAGCAACAGCAAGCCGAAAGCTCAGTTCATTGGACTTACAAGCGATTTATTATAAATCCTTGCGTCGGCCCAGCCGATGAAAAAGACCGGGTGAAAAAAGGTCACAGGTGAGGCAGAATGAAAAGTCAATGGAAATCACTGCGCGTGTGCAGAGCTGCCAAAACAGGAGTAAATTCCCAACGTTCATCTTCGCAACCTTGTAGCGCATGGCAAGCAAAAATTGTTTTCATTCTTTAGCGTGGCTTGGGGCCTGAGGTATGCCAGCAGCATATCGCGGGTTCTCTCTGCACACTTCTCTTTCTGCTCAGTATCCGCACAGAAAGGGGAAACGCAATGAGAGGAAAGCAATGACATTGAGACATGCGCAAGGTGCAAGCACGTGTCAATGGGCATCAATCAGCCAAGCTTCCGTTAACACTGCTCTGCAAACCAAACAGCCCAACATCACCGATCGGTTTTCCGATGAAACATCCGTTTTGCCTTCCAACTGCGGGTGAAGCCTAGTCAGCAATGAATAGGCCTATCCACCGGCTTGCCGCTTGCCGCTGAGTATGGCGATTACAAACGCAAAAAGGTGCTCACAAGCTCATGCAATCAGAAGCTGGCAACATAGACTTGGACGAAGGCGTTGAGGCTGACATGGTATGACATGGTGTGACTGTGAACTTGGCAGTAGGCTCCCTATGGGTTTTCTATGGTTTTCTCCTTGACGCCAACTCTATTGCAAATGTGTTTATTGAAACCTCCGGATGATTGTCACCATGCTTTAGTGAAACTGGTTGCAAAAGATGGCAAAAACAAGCAAGGGAGAAAATACGCTGTGGGAAGAAGGATTCAAAGTCAATGTGCCTTGGCTGCCGCCAGGCTTCTGCCACATCCGCCCACGACCTGCCGTGCGCGTCAAAACTCAAATGAATTGAATGCAGGAATTGCGGGTATGCGGGTTTTGCCACCAGCAATGCAGGGAAACTTGGATAGAAGCTATAGTTCCTGATGATAAGTTGCACGACGACGTATGAAGTTAACCAGGCCTCTCTAAACAAGGCATCTCAAAGGTTTGCGGTAGTTATGGTAAAGGCAGCCAGTTACCCAATTTGAGAGCGATGCCTTCGACAAGGACATGGCAGGAGATGATTGCCCACCAGTGCAAAAAAAAACGACTCGCTATCTCGCAGAATGACAAGCACAGCGCAAGCTTTATCTCCTGCAATGATTGGCCGTCGGACTTGGGCCGGTGCCAAAATAGATATTCCCGTGGCGAAAGCCTTCAGCACATCTCCGCAAGCAGGCCGTGGGCAGAGTGTCCAGGTTGCAAATGCAAAACATGGCTGGCAGACCAACTGCTTTAGGCCAGCAGACCAGGTGCTGCAGACCAAACCCTGCGTCATGGGGGTCACGATACACAATATGATTTTGTCCTGGCACATGCAGTACCAACAACATGCCTCCTTTCATATTTGGTTTACCCCTTTCCAAGGCTGCTGAAGATGTGATTAGTCCATTCGCTTGCCTGATGGGGAAACAAAGCAACAACCAAGCTGACCAAGAACCATCGGCGCACTGATGAAACAATGATAAAACAAACAGCAAAAACACAAGGGTTTCCTCCGACATGCTCAAGACCTGAAAGTGTCACTTGTATGTTGGGTGTTGCCAGCAGCTTGAAGACTGACATCTAAATTGGGTTTAGGTCGGAGTCTGTTCTTGGTTCCGGAGTCTGTTTCCAAAGATCCAGATATTAAGTTTATTTAGCTAAGTTTATGATGGTTTATGTTAGATATACCTATAGTTGTTGATGGTTTGTGGATGTTTGTGGTAGATATACCATGATATAGCTATAGTTGATTGGGGTTTACACACTGGGTGGGCACCACCTCGTATTCTTTTCATAGTGGTGGTTGGAAGTATTGAAGTCAATACCATTTGCTCATGTCATAGGGATCATAACTACTAGTGTCAATAGTGATTGAAGTGTGACTCATGTTGAATCTCTGGGGAATGTTGTTTTATGTTGTTGTGAATACTGAATAATTGAATAGTGAATGATATGCTCCTGGTGATGAATGACCAACCCTCCCCTAGAGGTGCCCCAATAAGGGTCAAGCTTAAAGGTGAAACTTACCTACCAGCGACACAGGGGAGGAGCTGATTAATAATCTCCCCAGAAGGTCTAGATCCATGGGTTTGAAAAGCCCCAATGACCAGCAAAAGCAAACATGGAATTCATGAGAGTTTCCTTTCAAATGTGATAAGTCAGAATTTCAAGTGAAATCCATTTACTTTCAATTGGCTTTCCTTTTAAATCTAAAGGATAAGTAAGGGGGAGCCGAGGGTGTTCTGAGAAATTGGGGCTGCACATGCACATTGGGGGGGACAACCCACCTAAAGAGGGTACCCTTTAAGAGCTTCTCAAAATGCATGTTTTCCTCAATATTTATGTATAATATATATATATATAATATATATATATATATATAAATATACATATATATATATATACATATATATATATATGTGTTGACATAGCTATAAAGCATCTCCTCCATTGACTCTGCGCAATACATTTCCTTTCCTGAACCATTTGTATCTTGCATCCCTTTGAAGCCAGCACCAGAACCATCAGGTCAGAAACATCAGAACCAAATTACTTTCTCACAACAAACAAAATGGGATTTTCCGGAAGGGTGTTTTTTGAAGAGGGGGTAACCCATGTTGATTCCTAGTGGGACCAACCCCTTAAGTAGTATTGCCAACATTTTTCTGGACTGCGGGTGTTGATGAATTCGGGGCGTTTTGATTATTAATATGAACTTAACAATATAGTTTTAATTCTTGCCCAATGTATTTGGCACATACCATAATATCCGTACTCGTTCATTATACCAATTCGAATTACCCAATATTTTGCTGGCAAACTCTCAACTGTTGGTCTTTTAATTTCCATAAAAAATGCCATTTTGGACCGTGAAACTTCCCTACTGGCTATATGATTTCGTCTGATTTCTTCTTAGTTTTCCACACCCCATGCTTCACTATGTATTTTTGAGACAATGGGACAGAAAAAAAACCATCTATATCGGTGTTCCTATTTTCGTTTTGGACATTAATTTTCTTGGAAAGCACATTTTTGGAATGAGTATCACATTGTTGGTTCTATATCTGGTTCGGTCTCATTCTTTCCCGGCTATGGTTGATTATATCCCCATGTTTTGGTAGACCCAATTTTTAGATGATTGTGTGGGTTTTTTTCGATACTCCATTCAACCCCTCCAAAGAAAAACCATCCTTTTTATGAGCAGAATTGGTTTCCACAAAAAAGTCCCATTAGAGGTTCATCATCGTTTTTTTTCACATTAACAGTTTTGTAGTACATGATAACGTAGTCATCAAAATGTGATTTCAACAAATACCCTGGTTGGTGGTTTCAACCCTCTGAAAAAAAATGAAAGTCAGTTGGGATTATTGCCAATATATGGGAACAAAAATCATGTTCCAAACCACCAACCAGCCATCAAATCATAACTCAACCACCATTAATCCCCATGAAATCACCATTACTCCCCATTAAATCGCCATAAATTCCCATTAAATCACCATAAATTCCTATGGTTTCAACTTAAATACCTGTTTTGGTATGAAAGCTGCATGTTGCCGTGCTGCCCATGGCCCTGATGGCCTGTCATCCAGTGGCCAGCTTCATGCTGGATGCAAGCAGTTAACAGTCACCAGAGTGGTGCCATCTTTCAGGAAAATATTGGAAAATCATCGAAAATGATCTACAAATGCTGGTCTTTCTATGGGTTTTCGATGGATTTTCTAGATCTTCTTGTTAGTTTACAGCAGGGGTTGATAAATGTTACGCTCCTCACGACCCATAAAAATGAAATCGAGCGACTGGTGGGCGCACAGGCCATGGCAGCCTGGATCCGGTCATGGCAAGGGGCAAGAAAATGGTCTGAATCACCTGAGTTTCAGACTCAACCTGAAGAAGTCATACTTGTCTTATCTTACCTTTGATGTGAGAGTGTTTATATATATATATATATACACGCTATATATTATATATACACACTATATATATATATAAAGATCATGTGAAAAGGATGAAAAAGGTGTCTCACTTCAATTCTCCATGAATCTGTTGAGTTACCCACCACGATGGTCTGACCGGGTTGGGATGAGAATGTCTCGTAACGTGTGATTTATTTCATGTGACATAACAGGGTATAGCCATACTTCAGCTACCGGCAGATTTTTCCCGGTGACCCACATACTGCAATCGTAGGGAGCAAAGTCTGGCGTCCACTGTGACGGCAAATTCAGGGAGCCGGTTTTGGATTCTGGGTGGAGAGGCGTTTTTTTCAAGGTCTGGGACACATCTTCTGAGTTCAAACCATCGAACCATTGGTCCCCATGATGTGATTAATCCAACACTTACCCAAATGCAGTATTCCATTCAACACACAGGATTCCAATTCAAACCACGCATTGTATTAATGGATAGTATTGCACTAGTGTATCCCAGCTTGGAGATTGCCCAATATATAGTGTATAACAAAAAGTAATAATGATAATTGAAACCCGCTATATAGATAACAATATTGTTGGTACCCTGGTATTATTGTTGGTAACCACATGTAACCACCACAATATTAATCATAATTCAAACCAACAATAATAATAATAAGACTAATAATAATCATATATAATAATATATATATATATTATATATATAAAAAACACCTTGCCCGAATATTCCCAACTCAAATCTCCGATTGTTGACCTGGCCCACAGAGGTGTTGGTCACCCGGCAAAAGACCTGGTATTCGGGCAACAGGTCGATATGGTTGGAGGTGGTAAGCCCCGAAACGTCTGCGAGGTGGTACCCTGGTAACTAGTAGAATCTCATCCTTTAAACATATATGTGATCCCCCAAGAAAACGAAACATCCTACAATAAGAAGAACATCCTAAGATCATGTCATCCAAATAAGTTCATGAAAATCCAATCAATACATGCAGTACATCCTCCTCAATGATGCATTCAATCACATCTTCAAACATCAAATAAACACTCACCACAAACTCATCCCAACACAACCAATTGGAATACTTCAAAGTCAAGAAAATACTATAAGAATTGGTTAACTGACTGGTCCTTAAAACAAAAACACATCTATCCACCGTAGCCACCGCACCACTGAACCAGCCCATGCCCCCCCGGCCTCGTTGGTGTAGCCCTCCAGGTCCATTGCCATGGCGCTGATCCGTTCCTCCGAATGGTGGAGAGCCTGGCGACCAACCAGGCTAACAGCTGGGCTTTGGTTGAACGACATCGGGGATTTTTTTTAGGTCATGAACACACATGAACACATGGATATGAATGAACTATGCGAATTAATGATGTTGGTCAAGCAATCCAGTAATTAAAATAGGTCTATTGAGAGAATGCATAATCTGGTTGGTGGTTGACCTACCCCTCTGAAAAATATGAAAGTCAGTTGGGGTTATTCTTCCCAATATACGGAAAAAATCATGTTCCAAACCACCAACCAAATAATTTATTAAGATCCTGGATTGATTCGGTAATTAATAGAGACAATGTTTAAACCATCAACGGATACTTATAGGGGATTGATCCGATAAACATCAATGCATTTATCCATACAATGGGTGATAATGAATTTAATGGGTGTATGAATCCCTTGTTAATGACTTGATGATTGATGATCATTCCCCAATGTGGAAAGCTAGCCTGTATCATACATTGAAATAAAACTGGAGAAATTATGGAGATTTTCTTAGAACAAGAGTTCATTTGTTTTTGCACCCCAAAAAAGGGATTTAACGGATTTAACCCGTAACAATGCATCTTGGAGCAACAATGCATATCGGAGCAACAAAGATGATTATTCACCAACAAAAGACCAAACATGTGGAGCAGAATAGAGACATTCATCAAACACTATCAACAAACAAAAATTCATTTGTTTCACACCAGAATTGAATCATCAAAACCGGAGGTTCATCTTTCCCCATCTAAGCAACTTGGTAACCAGCTTCCCAGTGCTGATAGTGACTGGGGATGATTGATGCTGGGTTGATGAGATTGTTTACGTTTGGAAACTCAGGAGCTTCTATCAAGCACGTAGCCACATACCATTCCTTGCACATCATGAAAGAAATCTGGACTTAATGGATCAAAAACAGGTGAAAAACAACTACGCGACAAACATGTCCCAGTGCCTCTCATTCTTATCATTCTTCCGCGCCTGGGAAATGGACTCAAGATCTTTCAACTTGATGATGTGCACCATGCGAATCTCTTGCCATGCCCTGGCGGTTTTTTCAACTCCAAAACCAGGAGTTTGCCAGATGCTGGTCATCTTCGCAAAGGCTGGGAACCATGTCCAATGGGGCAAACATTTAAAGGGATATGGTTCCTGAGGGATATGGTTCCTGTATGTTCCTGTAAATATCGCTTAAAAATCCCTGAAATGGTCCCTTAAGACATCACTGGATTGATTTTAAGGGACTTTTAAGGGAGATTTTATGATAGCAAAAAACAACTTGGTTTCCTGTAGATGTTCCTTCAAATAATCCAAAAAACTTCTTCACTTCAGTCCAATCTCAATCGGGGATGGTTTGAGACTTCAAGCCCAGGCAGCCATGGACCATGATATTCTGGATTTGCGTGAAGAGTTAGCCTGCTAGGGACCGCCATCCAGGATGAGATCCCCAAAAATCACTGGGTGGTGGCTGGATTTTATTCATCAAACTAACATAACTATGGAAAATCGCAATCTTCAGTAGGTAAATCAACTATTTCTATGGCCATTTTCAATAGCAAACTGTTAAACTACCAGGTTTGCTAGAAGATGGTCAGGGTGGCTTAGTGTCACCCAAGTTGCTTCACGATTGGCGACCCTGATGTGGACCAGAAAGCAACCGGTCTCACCACTGTCGCAGTTGGTTTTTAGGAAAACATCTGCATGAGAAGCGGGTATTGGACAGCAAACTAGAACTATCTAGAACTTAAAATGGATATATCGGATACAACTTCAGGAGGTTTGATGTGTTGGATCGATTTGGTTTGCATCAAAAGTCATTTTCCTTTGAGTTTCCTCACTAAACGATATGGGGCTGGGTCCGTCCAAGACTACCACACCAACATGGGATGATTTTCACCCGCTTCACCAATGAAAACAAAAAATTGAACTCATAAATCATAGAAATCCCAGTTTGATCCATCAAAATTTACCAGTTTTCCCATATTTTCCCACATTTTCTCATCTTTTCCCATCTTTTCCCATCTTTTCCTATCTTTTCCCATATTTCATCCACCATTTTCCCATGACTTTCCCATCCCCAGATATCCCCCGTCCGAGCTCCTGCAATGGGTCACCACCGGTTGGCCGTAGATGCTCAGCTGCAGCTTCACCGGCGCGAAAGCGTCGAGCCTCGGAGATTCAGGATCTTTGGCAAAGGAAATCCAGTAGATATAGAGAGATAGCTAGAAATATTATAATATATATTATATATGTATACATATACATATATACATATACATATACATATATGATATAATATATATATATATATGTGTTGATGATTGTTGATGTATGTGTGTATCATTGTATGTATATATATATATATATAATATGTATGTTGATGTATATAAGCAAGGATTATAGTAATTACATATGTATATTGAGGGCTGAGTGAAAACACAGATCTCATATTGCAGCTATTCTTTTGGGATGATTTAACACATCCAAACCATCATCTAGCTAATCATAACTGGGAATTTTAAGGTCCAAACATGTCCAAACTCAACACACCATAACTGGGCCCTTCAGGGGTCAATTTCTGTCACCGCAGATCGTTACCTTCCCAAGTTGGGTCAGTGGGTTCCACCATGGGATGATTCACTGATCCAAGAAAAATGTGACCATGCTGACCATGCCGGCTTTCCACGAAACATAATTTGAACAGGAAACCCATGGATTTCACTACCACTCATCAAACCAGTTGAACGCTTTTTTCAACATGTTAGTACCCAACAAATCCTCAAAACCATTGGTTTCCCAGTAAAAAAGGATCAGTAGCTTGGATAATTCTGGGGTCCTCCATCATAGGAACCCCAACCCGTGATCTTCCGCCGAAAAATATCAAGCCACCAAGGGAAGTCAATGGAAGTATCATAAAACCTAATCTATATATATATATATATGTATAACTTATAGCTTAATAGTCATACATGATTATCTATAATAAATCGTATATTTACAATAAATTAAGTTCTGATGTTCATTTACATCTTCATCAGCCGTCGTTTGATGGTTAAATGTTAAATACCACCCATGTCTTGAAACCGGTCACCTTCACGGCCCCACAAGCTACGGCCCCTGGCAGTTCGTTGCTCAAGACCACCGAGGCGGCCGTGTGTTTGTCCGCGCGATCTGAGACCTGCGCCGATTGCAGAGGCGCCAGGTCGGTTTTTTTTTGGCAGATCCCATGGGGTTTGGAGAGCAGAAAAACTGGTTGGGAGATCACTGGTTATGGTTATAACTGGTTGGTGGTATGGTTATGTATTACTATGACTGCTTGGTGGTTGACCTACCCCTCTTTAAAAATGATGGAGTGAAAGGCAATGGGGAAGGATGATATCCCATATATGAAATGAAAAATAAAAAATGATTGAAACCACCAACCAGACATGACTAAAATGACATAAACCACCAGCAAAAAATCACAATTTTCATGGCCAATCTATGCCAATCTTAGATATGTACCCTGCAAAACATCACAAATTTCAGCTGGTCAGATTGTTACATCCACATGAAAATGGAACTAAACTACCCATTCAGTTTTCCCCTGTGTTTTCCCATTATCAAAACCAATCATGCCTTTTAGTGGTCAAACTAGCCAGTTTTATAGCTGAATTTTCCAACTTGTAGATCAATCATTGAACATTGTTCATAAATCATATCAGCTAAGCATGTTATATATACTCACATCATATTTAAGATATAGAAAGCGGTAGAAATGATATTGACATAATCATATCAAATCAAATCAAATTACATCATAGTAATCATTTAATCATAATATCTCATATCCCCTTTCAAAATGGTTATGAACCATTCAGTTTTAGCCCTAGACAGTTATAACTGGTTTATAAGTTCATTTCAGTGATATGTATAAGCTTAATTGCAGGAGGGATAATCCCATTTATAAGGATCGTACCATGTTGCATGTATATGGCATGTTATAAGATGATAATTGGAAATAAACTTGCAGGAGTTATATCCTCTATTGCATGTATATATAAGCAATTCCAAGCATTCAATCCCACCATAATTATTGAGAACCATATTAACCACCATTGAAAAACACTTAATAAGTTTAAGATATTTCAAAATCATAACTTATGCAATTAAGTCAGTGCTTCTTAAAACATGTTATAACCATATCTGGTTGGTGGTTTCAACCATCTTGAAAAATATGAGTTCGTCAATGGTTGGTGGATGAGATCCCATATGTGAAATGGAAAATAAAAGCCATATTTGAAACCATATTTCCCATTAATATCCCATTAGAAACCATTAACCCACTACAATCCCCATGAATCACCATAGAATCACCATAGAATCAGATCACCATACGTTTCATGCTGAACCACCCGTTCCGGTCGTGAACCCAACGAAGAAACCGCGCCTGACACTCCGGCGCGCTACTGAAGGCGGCGCTACAGGCGTCCGAGGACGCCAACGCGCGCAAGACCGAGGGACAGCTGTCCTACGGAAGGACGAATCGTGGGGATCGATCGAAGCGATTTCGGGGAATCTTAGAGATACCCTCTGGTTATGTCAAAGCTATGGTGGTTGAATGGGATTTCATGGGAGTTACCCTCTGGTAATGACTAACAGTTTGCTATTTGAATGGGATTTTATAGTGATTTAATGGGATATGATTGGTATATACCCTCTGGTAATTTGTTGCACTTTGCGACATAGAAAATGGCCCAGTCGAAATAGTTGATTTACCTATGACAAATGGTGATTTTCGATAGTTATGTTAGTTTACCAGAGGGTATGTATCAAGAATTGCATCACTTCATCTTTAGCCAAAAGATCGCGTGTGAAATCCTAACTACAGGGGACTGAGAACAATATCTATATATGAATAGATCTTATACACTAACATTTAATATTTAAGAACTAGTTTGGGATATTGAATCATAAATGAAGTTAGGGATTATATATATATATATGAACTAGTGGGATTAGGGTTATGATTCAGGAATATATCCCACTAAAAATCCCTAACTTCAATATTTGGAGCATCTCCAGAACTTGATGTGCTGATAGACGTGAAGGCAAACGTGTGACTGCCAGTTCGGTCGCTAGGCCCACACGTTCAAAGCCAATTTGGTGTACCCACAATTCCGAAGGATCCAAACCTCCTTTTGCCCGTGAAAATTGCCAGAAATTGGGGGTTGAGCCCCAACATTCAGGACAAATGATAGTTAGTGAGGGGAATCCTCCCCAAAATATCCTTATTTCAGCTAAGTGAATTAGTAAAGTTTATCCAGATACAGTAGGAGAGTGTTTGAGCAACACTACAAGTTGTACCCTCAAGTGGTCAGGTGAATGGGGGAAATAGTGATTCAACCGTCAAATTCTGAGGTATTCTATGTTCAGACATCCATCTGCCACTTGTCGGCAATAGTCACCATTCCAGTAACCAACCAGTTGGGGACCATGTTAAATCATTCACAAGGGGTAATTATGCCAAACAAGAAACCTCTATTGGGGATGATTTATTATTGGGCTTACCGCATTATTGTTATGTTGCGACGCAGATGGGTACTGTACATGGTGGTGACTACCTCGGCTACAATCCATTTGATTAAATAGATCATGCCAAGGGTTGTCATTGGGTTCTTGTGGTAAGATAAAGCAGTTGCTATTGCTTATGAGCTTCGTGCAAATAAGTCGCCTATGGGTACAACATGGCGAAAAATCAACTCCATCTGCACTTCACCTCGAAGAAGACAATCTCTGCATGTGATCCAACAAAGTCAGCTCAAACTATGTACTTTATTGATGTTCGACTTGGGTGACATATAAAAATTTGGTGTATTCAGTCTTGGTTCTTCACCCCAATGAACCTGATGAACCTGAAGGTGCGTCATATCTATGAGGGTATTTCATGGCCTATCCGATCTCATTAAATCCAATGGTGTCCAACATTGTCCAACTAAATCCTGGACATCAATGGTTGGTTCCTGTTGACATCTAACAAAAAAAACACTCCCAATGTCTCATTTTTCAGAGCCATCAAATGGACGGAGTTAATGATCAACCATCCCAAAATCATCATGGATGGTTGGTATAAACTATCCCCAAATGATAGTTATTTTTTGTTGGGGTTACCACATTACATAGTTTTGATATTGACGGCCTATTTATAGGTGATTTACTGATTTAAAATGTGATGTCCCATGGCTTTGTTGAGAAATCAGAATCATCAGGAAATCATCTAGAGCTGAGAAATCACAATTTTTAACAAATCATCTATAGCCATGGTGATGATTTACTATGTATTTTTCTTTTTACGAACCACTTTTTTTCCAGCAACATCTATAGCCATCAAATGAACGGTTTTAATGATCAACCATCCCAAAATCATCATAAATGCTTGATATAAACCATCCCCTAATGATAGTTTCCATTCCCAAATGATAGTTGCAGTTACAGCCATGGTTAGATGATTTACGTACGATGACCAATATATATATATATATATAGTTAACATGTTTAACATCAACAAGTAAATTATCTATAGATCTATAGGTTTGATGCCCCCATTTTTTTGGTCAACACTCTTATAACAGCCAACCCCAACGCAGCCAACCCCACCGCACGGCGTGTTTTCCGCCTTGCGCTGCGCATCGCCGTTGACCACTTTGAGGCCCCGCTCGCGTTGCCGCCGCGCCAAAGCTGGGGACCTGACATCGCATAGAACTGGGATGAACTGGGGTTACAGTAATGTATGGTTCATTGGATTGGTTTAAGGGAAAATCTACAGGAAACCATGTTTTTTACCATCAAATATAGGGCTTTCCTGTAAAATTTCCCATCATCCAATTCTATGTATGGTGATAAATGGAGTTAACTAGTGGGGATATCCCAGTTCTATGGTGATGAACTGATGTTATTCACCATGTTAATGGATTGAATGGTGATTTTTCATGGTGATTTGAATGGGGATATACATAGTGGTTAATAGTGGTGAATCATTGATAATATAAATAAATATGTAATGGTATATTTAATTGGATTTATCATCATATAGCATACATAATCAAATGTATACTCTCTGGTAATCAAACATGGCAGGCTCCTTAAATGGAGGTTTTAGTGGAAACATATTTATCAATGGGTGATTTTCCATTGCCACGTTTGATTGCTGGAGAATATTCATTTGGTTACTGTTTGGGTTTGCAACAAGTTACGCTTCCCTAATAACTTGGTTAAAAGTACCAACAAAGCCCAATCATATTTAACTTCCGGACCGACCCTTCACCCTTCTAGCCAAACTCATGGCTCATCAACCTGGGGAATTGATATGACATAGTCATTTAATAAGAGTCATTTAATGGTCCCAAGCCGGTGATTGTGTTTTTACTTGGCTATGCGGCTGGCAGTGAAAGCTAGTAACCAAGACTTAAATGGTCACAAAGAACATTCTACAAGGATTCCAAAGAATGTTTTCAAAGAATTGAGAGCTTCTTCCATGAAACCTTGGGTTTTTGTATTCCCTGCCAAGTTGATTTTCATTCTAGACTTCCGCATTTTTGGGTGATCGTTGGCTACTAAAATCGCTTCAAAAATGGCACCCACGCCCACCTCTCAACGATGACGTACTCAAATGCACCCACGAAGCGCCTGGCGCTTCAACGCAGACGTCGGACTCCAACTGATTCCAACTGATGCCATGAAGAAATCCAATGGTCAGCCGAGTTGTAAACCATACCCGGCCTGGTAAACGTTTACATAACTATGGAAAATCACCATTTTTAATGGGAAAACTGACTATTTCTATGGCCATTTTCAATAGCTTTTTGTATGTTTACCAGAGGGTAACTTGCCTATCCACTAAAGACATCCCATGGGACCAGCTGCTGCCGACCTCCACACTGCGGGTTCGATGCCCAACTCGTTGCGCTTCACGCAGACGTGGATGTCATGCGCCAGTTGACCACTTCCTGCGAGAGGATTCCCAGGTGACTACCCCAATGGTTGGGTTGATGAAGGGCGAATCTTAACCAACAACCCCTAGGAAAACTATAGAGCTAGTGACAATTAGTGACATAGTGGTCCTGGCATGTGCTTTTTTGATATGTTTCAAAGTGATCAATGACCCTATTCTTTTAAAGCACACACAGCCAGCGTGGACAACAATGTTCTTCAGCTTCATAGGTTCACGCGTCGTGCCAAAGTCATAGGCAAATGGCCCCATGGTACCAAGTGGCCGCTAGGAAACGTCGAGTTCAAAATCTTTGAATTTGATATTAAATAAGTTGTCTGAGAGTCAATATGAGTACATTTTCGGGGTAAACAGTGTTATCATAATGTTAGTGGTTAAATAATCTATTTGAGTCCATTTGAGTTCCCCCTGAGACTGTTAGAGCTTCCATGGAGCCTCTTTGAGATTATTGCATTCTGTGCTGCTAAAAATGTAAATGAGTAAAATCGAGTGACTTCGAAAGAAGTTGAGGTAATTTATGTTGCCCGAAAAAAACACTGAAACAGCACTTCGAAAGAAATTGAGGTGATTTGAGAAACCCCATCCCCAACAAAAACTGTGTTTATTTTGTTGATATACAGCAGTTGCAGTAGAATGAGTTCGCTTCAATTCTGGTTTCCTAATGCACACTACGCTGCTGAATGAAAATCAGGACATGATGATTACCGGGGCCCCCTGATTTTGGTTGTGTTGTTTGGTTGTGTTGTTTGGTTGTTTGTTCCCCCCACCCATTCTGTGAGAGCATTTGAGTGAGATTGAGTCAGAGTGAGAGCTTCTAAGTGACACTAGTCCCCCATTATGTGAGAGCATTTGCGTACATGTTGAGCAGCTCTGAGTGAACAAATCCTTGGACCGGAGAAAAAGCCATTGAATTAGTTTGGTTCCATTTGGTTGCAATTGAGGCCATTTGAGCAACTGGTCAATTAACAACTAAAATTTGCAATTGAGACAGTTTGTTTTTTTTGAAACATTTTGAGTTTTTTTTCTTTTTGGTTGTTGGCTATTTGGTAATGTGTTGGCATCAAGTTTTGGACATCTCCATCAGCCACTTTTTTCATCCCAGCGAGCTGTTCTGAGCCAGCTAAAGTGCGCACAGAGAGCGTGCGAAATATTTTGAGATTTCAACATCCGAAAATGGCCCCTCAATTTATCTCAAAAAATGGCCGAGAAAAATATGTCAATTTTGGTTTGGTTTAAGTGGTGCTCGAGTGCTGCATGAGCATGTTTGAAGCCTTTTGACTGGTTTTGAGGTAAAAAAAAATTACTCAAAATTTTGCATTTCCTCAAGGCCATTTCCTCAAGGCAGGTATTTTGCCTATGACAAAGAGGTGCTCATCGAAACGGTTTCAGTAGGGAAACCTGAGCTTGGTTTTGTTGGGATTCTTTCATGTTGTTTGTTGGTGCCTCATGGTCCATAAACGAAAAATCATGGTCAGTCCTTTCTGGTTTCACATACGATGTTTGAAGCGTGTTCACCCCGAAACGTCATTCATACTGCAGCCAGTGAGTTACCGTATATCTCTTCCGCAGTATGGCTACTTTGGGTTGCATCAAACATCAAACTAACCACTGCATCCCACGATGTTGTGTTGTATGTTTCCTTTTTTTCGCACTTTGTATAGTTTTTCATCGCCAGTTTGAGTATTAAAAGGTTCCTAAGTTTCTATAAAAGAAAAACACAGAGACACTAAATGGTGGGCGTGTGCATGCAAATATGCTCAAAATGGCACATGAGGTTGGATGTTATGTTTCATCCATGTTGCAGTCAATCTCTTAAAATATCTCCATCATATCTGCCGTGGTCAAAAACAAATATGGATTACATGGTCAACTCCAAATTTCTGTGGCTGATAGGCTTTGGTCTGTCCGCAGATGACCATCTCCATCCAAATATGGGAAACAACACAAACATAGACCCTGTCGATTTCGGAAAACAAACGACGCTGGTGAGTTTTCTTGTTTTTATCTGAGTAAACCATGCAACTGAATGCAACTTGACAGAAAAAATAATGGGATCCTGGATGAAATCCATCATGCCGGAAGCAGAATATGGTCCTGCACCCATCTCCACGACACGAAAGGGCGCTTTCTCTTTCATCTGAATCCACATGATGAAGACCTTGGACATGGAAACCCAGGGACGGAAGGTGTGTTTTTTGGCCCGCAATGTGATTCAGTTAAACAGTTATCGTCGCCGATATATTCTATACCATAAGAAAAGACAAGTAAAAACAATAGACACCCCGAATAGAATGACTGCTTCACCATCAAACGAGTAGATGTCATTGCATGACCCGTTTCAATGTCAATACCTTGCCATGCGAGCTTAGGTATTTCTACTGCGGGATAGTTCATGAATCCCTAATCAACCAGGTAGCATAACCCCTAACTCCTGTTGCATCAACAAACCACCCGCCATCAGTTGTGAATTAGATTCCCATTTTCAGTGGGTAAAACTTTAAAAATAACGGCTGAATCCAGATGAAACAACTAATCAACAAGGACCTGTTATTCAGTTGATGCCGCAACTACTAGATCCACTGGATAGCCAGTGGATGGCTGCCGTGCAGTGAAAACAGCATTCTTTTCCTATGAAATCACCATTACCCTCTGGTAAACGTTTACATAACGAACTGGAAAGATCCATCATTATTCATGGGAAAACTGACTATTTCTATGGCCATGTTCAATCGCAAACTGTTAGTTTACCAGAGGGTTAATCACAACTCAATCACCATTAAATCACCATGAAATCACCACTAATCCCCATTAAATCGCCATAAATTCCTATGAAATCACCATATATATCACCATTAAACCACCATGAAATCCACCAATTTCCAAATCGTCGTCTGACGCGTCTGAGCTCCCCCGACCAAACGGCAAAGCACTCGCCCGAAGTGCGGCGACAACGCCATGGGATAGGTGGTGTAGTGTGCAAACTCCTGGCCCATGGGAAAAATATGGAAACATGGAGTTCCAAGCACCCCAAAAGAAAGGGGATTGACATGGTTGTTAATATGTTTGTGAGACTTCATTGGTTGTGGATGTTATTTCGTTTCATAAAATCTAGATAAAGATGAACAATAAGTAGGACAAACTGAAATGCCGGGCCTTACTGACCATCATTCGACGTCGCGACGTTTTCGGCTGTTTTGGTTCATCCAGATATTCCGAATGGTGATTTTTAGGCATCAATCCATGGAAACATAATGGGAACATCATCATTCCATGCTGAGTGCAGAACATGTGGATGTGGGATGTTAACATATTCTAAGGGTAGATGGGCATGCTCAGAAATGGTGGATTTACCGCAAGAATGAATGGGGAGATTGGCATGGCATTTTAACCAACCATAGATAGGAGACTTAACAACAACACACGGGAAGGGGAAAACACACACATAATATGATATAATATGTTTTTTTTGCTAAAATAGGGCGCACCAGGGCAACTGCGGGTAAATCGTCCTGCTACATGCACATTAGTTCACATGTTGTACTTCCGATGGCATGTTTCAATGGCGGCAATGTCTCCAATTGAACTATATGTTAATTGCTTAACATCCCCACTCTTATCTTTTAAGGTTAGCAACACATCACCACAACCAGCGCGGCCTGCGCCGTCTTCCCGTCGCTCTTGCCCAATACACGGCCGGTCGAATAGTATCCGAAATCGTTGCCGTACCTATGCACTGCTGACGACGCTGGAGTCTGGAGAAAATACCTCTGATTGGGGAGCTTCGGGGTGTTACGAAACAAATGAATGAACTTGGAACTAGTGTCAATGGATTCGTTTGAGGGAAAATCTACAGGAAACGATGGTTTTTACCATCAAATATAGGGGGTTCCTGTAAATGTTCCCATCATCCAATTCTATGATAGTGGTGTTAGTTTAGGGGTTGTACTACTATCTACTACGCAGCTGTTTGTTGTTTGTTGTTAATCATCCAAGGGATTATCATCATCCTTGCACTGCAGCATGAGGGAAATGAGAGAGCGTCTTGCAAACTGCTCAGATGTGCTTAGGTGTGAGTCATGAATCACTTTCCGTCATTGGGACAGTTTTGGGCGCACAAACGGCAAATAAATTTGTTGAACTAACGAAAGGCTAACTGTTATATGGGGGTATACCTACAGAAGTTGCAACTTGGGGTGCCACATTGTATTGGTGTGTGCTTACCCAGACTTGATAAGAAGTGCAATTGAATGTAATTAAGCATGTGATAGCTCAATTTGGACCGAAGATGCACAAAAAAAAGACTTCAACTAGGTCTGGTTTGATCTTTCAACCAGCGTGGTTTGCGACCACGACCATCTTGGAAGAATCCACTTTGGAAGGCATCCAAATTAACCTTAAATATTTGCAGTACCTGTACCATTGACTCATATATATATATAATTATATATGCTTTATCCAATATTAAGCAATATTATCCAATATCAAGCAATATAGATGTTCATATGATCCAGATGTCCATCCTCCAGCCCACCCAGCAAGCCGCACTGGGAATCGGTGTAGAACTCATCCATGCCATAGAATTGATCCTGCCAACCAACACGTCGAGGTGGAATTCACAAAAAAACACTCGAACGGATGGTTGCGAAATGTGGCACCAGTTGGTAACTAAAGGGATTCCTATGAAACAGTGTAAATATGTGTAAATGGTGGGATTAAACAGGATAAACTATAGTTTAAATTATGCATGAAACTTGATGAGAATCCAATCCCTCTATCAAATCATATAAGTGCCCCCAAATGTTTGGGATCCCTCTAGAGTCTAGAGTCTAGATGAAGAGATCCAGCAACCAACCGAATTCTGTTGGGGATGCTCCTGGGATCGTCAGAGTGAAACAACCTCCAAAGGTGACAATTCCAGAGTAGATTTCAGTTCCTATTGATTACCCTGTGGTAAACTAACAGTTAGCTGTGGAAAATCATCCCCTTTAATGGGTAAATCAACTAAAAATAGCCATTTTCAATAGTTTTTTTCAATCGTTTTTTGTATGTTTACCAGAACGTAATCTCCAATAGATTGAGGAGTAGAAGCCCTTTAGAAACATCAACCAACGGGGGGGTTCCTATTGACTAAACATGGTCAAATCTCTCCTTTCCTTTTGTGAAATTGCCATCTCTGCTGGTCAACCACCATGATTGTTGAAAAATCTCCATGGATCTCCAATAGGTTCATTCCTGGTTGGTGGTTGACCTACCCCTCTGAAAAATATGAGTTCGTGAAATGGGATTCTTGTTCCCAACTGAATGGAAAAATAAAAAATGTTCCAAACCACCGACCAGATTCTGTAAGTTCCAACCTTGTGTGTTTTACTTCACAGCAAACATGGCACCCCCAGCGGAGAAAAGGGCCGTATCGATCTCACGTAAAATGATGTCGACCCAGCCTTTGCTGAGGATCAATGGCGCAGCAGACATCTCTGTGAAAATATGGGATGGTTCAAAACCTATTACCATCTTGTTATTTAACATAGCCATGGAAAATCCCTCATAAATGGAGGTTTTAATGGGAAAATCCACTATAAATGGGCCATTTTCCATGGCTATGTTAAATAACCAGAGGGTAACATATTTGGGGGCATCAACATCCATTAACCAGCTACTTCACGGTACCCAGATGCCAGATTACCAGGCTTAGGACCCAGCAAAATCATATGGCTACCAAGGAGCATGGCAACTTCGAATATGTTACTGGTTGGTGGTTTCAGCCCCTCAGAAAAATATGAAAGTCAGTTGGGATGATGACATTCCCAATATATGGAAAGTTAAAAATGCCATGGAACCACCAACCAGGATAAATATTACTATATGACAGCAGTGAACTAATACAATGCGTTCATCATAATCTGGCTACCCTCCAGGAAACATACACAAAAACACTATGGACATTCATGGTCGGACTTCCTGGAAGGACATGATCTACAAATGGACGATGTTCCATACGGTAATGCAAAATTGGAAGGTATCTATTGAAACCTGATCTACAATTCAAAGTGAATATTCAATGGATTGGTTTAAGGGAAGATCTACAGGAAACCAGTGTTTTTACCATCAAATATAGGGCGTTCCTGTAAATGTTCCCATCATCCGATTCTATGAAATATACCAAAAAAAAGAAATATATATATATATATACACATACATGATATACCCTATAATACAATATAATATATGTAAACGATAAATATATACATATATTACATGTGTATATTTATACATCGTTCAATACTATGTTTATCCGGAAAAACAACATTACTTGGGGACAACCATCATGCCTTGTCTCAGAAAGAGGTAAGCAAATAGGAAAACCAAATACAATACAATATGGACATATTTATATAGTGCATTATATTGTATTGTATGTGTGTAAATATAATTCTATGACTATCTATGTATAACACACATAGCCATAAATATTCCAAAGAACTTACCATCAGGCACAATCACCAGCGCTCTTCGTCTCCATCCTCCGACTGCAGTGCTGCTGGGCTTCCCCGCTTTGGGAACTCCGATTGGCCAAACAACAATGCTCGTAGTCGTAGTAGCCGGACCAACAGCCTGCAACTAGCCGTTGAGACAAGGGTTAACCGGTTAACCATGAATGCCCAGAAAAAAAATAACCCACTTACAACATCTTACAACCATGGTTGGGTCACATAAGGTTAACCATGGTTATCCTCTACTTAAAACAAAATCCTCCTTAGTTTCATCGTTTTGTATCTGGTTGAAGGTTACAAGTGGTTCACATGGTGTAATGAAGGTACAGGGATTGTCGGGATCTATGTCCCAACACATTTCACGCATCATGGTGGCAACAGAATGAACTAGCCCGTGTTTGGTTCTGGTATGTTCTGGTATTGTATGCCTTTGTCCTGGCAGATTCAATCATGATGCTGTGCACTTTGTCTGGTTCTGTTTTGTGAAAAAGGCATAACTTAAGAAGCAAGTCCTTGGTCCACGCTGCCATTGGTTCCGCGAAGGGATCTTGCTGGGTCGCAAAAAGTAACAAAACGATAAACAACGCTTCTTACAGTGGCTTATGGTATCTTCTTGTAAGGACCTTATTGGAACATTATGGGGCCTACCAAAACCCCATGGAAACCCTACACAAACCCTACACAAACCCTTTGTTTTTCCCTCAGTTTGCCTAGGGCTTGCGTGGGTCTTTGATGGGAGTTGATGATATTTGTTATTGGCAGGCCACAGCCTTTGTGGATCAAGGCCCTCCATCGGCTTAGTTAGTGGGGCCATAATTACCAACCAGAAAAGGAACTGGTGTTCCTAGAAGGTGTTCCTAAAGGGGACTATGTTCGCCCCCATCAGGCAATTTCCAATTTCCTGGTGCCATTCATGGGCATAGCATGGGGGTTTGGTGGGGGTTTGGTGGGGGTTTGGTAGGGGTTTGGTAGGGGTTTGATGGTGGTTTGATGGGGTTGAGCCCAAATCTGGGAATGGCGTGGGGGTTTTGTGGGGGTTTGGTGGGGGTTTGGTGGAGGTTTGGTGGGGGTTTGGTAGTGGTATTTGAAACAGGACAAGAACAATGCTATTTGCAGCAGCCCAAATCTGGGAATAGCATGGGGGTTCGGTGGGGGTTTGGTGGGGGTTTGGTGGGGGTTTGGTGATGTTTGGTGGGGGTTTGGTGATGTTTGGTGGGGGTTTGGGGGGATTTGGTAATGGTATTTGAAAGAGAACAAGAGCAATGCCATTTGCAGCAGTCAGCAACCCAAACCTGGGCATGGCATGGGTATGGATATAGTAGGGCTAAAAGGTTAGAACGGTTAGTATTTTGAGTCTAAGAATGATTGTTTCCAGCTAATGGCTGCAGCTCCTTGGGAATGTTACGGGGTTTTAGTTGGGTTCTTGTGGGAGTCTTGTGGGGGTCTCAGGTGTTGGCTGGGAATCTTCAGGGGTTCCTATGGGATGATCATGGGGCCTCCAAAACTCCAGAAAGGCCTCTACAGAAAGCGCCCCTAATCCACCCTATGATCTTTGCGAAAGCACCTGGATGTAGCTCTCCGTAGATCATGGAAATCCTTTAGGGTTGGAATCTGCAATTCTGAGCCGTACAACCATTTTGTATGAGAGTTGGTATGGATAAAGAGCACCCTTTGGGGATTAGTTAGGGGAAGATTCAAAAAAAAATACCTAGGACTTGTAATGCTCTTCGAACTCGCTCATGTTGCATTTTGAGGCATTTTTTACTTTAGAAACCTATAGGAAAAACCCGAAAAAATCTGAGCTGGTAGACCCTGGCGGCGATCCACAGGATCCCCCCGACCACGTGCATGAAAGGGAACTCAGCATCTGTCACTTCGTAACCGGCGTAAGCCAAGTTTCGGTGGCCCAGGTTCTGAAGTCTCTGCCACATTGTTGATTCTACCCTCGACAACCACAGGTTCACAGGTCTGTTGCGCTCATCACGTCGGAGCTGTCATGGGGCCTTGTGGAATGTCAGGAAGTAACAGGGGTTGCAAGGATGAGGTGACGAGATGTGAGATGTGTCGAGTTTTCGAAATTATAGGTTCATATAGATTCTATAGATATGTCAAAAGATGTCAAAAGTAGAAATAAATTACATGGAGAGTAGGCATCATTTGGAAGATGTTGGCAGCATCTTTATCTCTGGATGGGCTCCAAGACGCCCATCAGATTCTCACTGCTGACATCGAAGTGAGGTCCTTGTAATTCATCCAAATAAAAAGGGCATATGTTGAGCCATATTTGACCATCGTTAACCATAAACAACCATTAAGCATCAAGAAAAAATATTTTACCATTAGTTTCATTGCCTTGGCTACATCTGATCATAAATCCTATCTTAGTGCATTAAACAAACAAATGAATCAATATATATATATATATACATTGATACTTATATAATATCATCATATGATATCATAATACATACATAATATCATCATATAATCATGTACAAATGCATGTCAATGAAAATGTAAATCAAAAAACAAAGCCATAGAATTCCACTGATCGAGCCTGGGTTCCCGTTCTCCCCATGCTTTTGATCGCAGCCTCTGCGCCGCGCCGTTGTGGGCCAAACGTGGGGATCAACAGCGTTTGGAAGGGCGGTTTCCCGGTATTTGAACCACGGGAAATCTATGGGGATATACCGTATTATACCATCATTATAATTATCATATAAAAGATATGGGTTATGGTAAAATAAGGTTTACCATATCTCCATAATTATCCATATAAATCTAACCATGGGGATATCATGGGGAGATATGATTTATCAAATGGAAAACTGATGGGATGTGGTATAATAAAATCGACCATGTGCTGGGGATATAATCAAGGAAGTAAGTTGGATATAATGGGATAGCATGGAGATCTATGTGCATACTCAAGGGATTGATTCACCAGCAACAATGTTGTTATAAAACCAACACATGTTGTGGGATACCTGGTATGATGGATTTCAATGAGAGATATAACGCCACACATATGACATATGAAGTCTGATGTGGCAGGTTCCGTAGCACTGTTGGTGGTTACCACATATAATGACATATTATGGCTCATATATGCCTATATATATTATAATATATATCTTATATAGAATCTATTGTAATCTATGTAGAATACATGTGGCTTGTCCAAAAAAAGGTACCCCAATTCATATACCATGGCTTCATGTCGGCTTCATGTTTTTCAGAAATGATGATCTCCCAGGAGAATCCAGGTCATTCGCCTTGACCTGGTGAAACCAACCATGGGGACACGTTGGGGATCCCATTGAATCATGGTTTTTCCATGTTTTTCCCATTAAAAAACATCAGAAAAATGGGATCTAACTTAAGAAACCCCCATATTTTCCCATTCATGAGGATTTCCCATTGCTTCCATTGCTCACCCGCAGCTGAGTCTCCCAGCAGGCTTCATAGGTGAAAAGTTTGCCGTCCCAACAGTCCGCATTGGGGCAACACTCCTATGTTGGCCCCCACACTTGTAAGTTGGTTTACGGTACTGGTTATTTAACATAGCCATGGTTTTTCGATGGCCCCAATCGAAATAGATGGTTTACCGAACTTAAAAATGGTGGATCTTTCCATGGCAAACTGTTAGTCATAACCAAATGGTACCACCAAACTGCAGATTTCTATCTACCATCCACCATAGTTCGCCGACTCAAAAAAGCCTCGTTCTCTGTCTACGTGGCACCACATTGCGGCTGCGATACCGTACCTGTGCTAAGGCTTTGTAAAACTCAATGGTAGATTGCCTGGCACATTCCGGAAGACCTACTAGACTCTGTAGATTCATTGAACCTTTGAAATTTTATTTCTCCCTTTGCAATCAATATCATAAATATCTCATATCTCAATAATCGCCAGTGGCTCATGTCTAGCTTCAACGGCTTAAGCTGTTGATGGCCGCAAACACGATGCGCGTCCTCAAAGCTGTAGGACTCATCCCAACATTCCGCGTGGCTCGTGGCGTCTCCCTGACAGCACCTCGATTGGTCCAATGGGAGATTCACAAGGTGGTGCCCCCTACATAGCTAAGTAGGCTTATAACTCTAATATTATAGGTGATATATCTATAGTTAATGGGATTATAAACCAACTTATAACTTGGGGGGCACCACCTTGCAGTCATAGATAGAAATCTCAGAACCTGATAGCGAATCACTTGCTGCATCCGAGGATGCAGCCACAACATCGACGTATGTGGCTGCTCGTATAACCAGAACGCCATCTTGGATTCCACAAGCCACGCAGTGACTGCCATAAGGGCAACCATGTCCTTACAACTGAAAGAAATACAATCCCAAACAATGACCGAAAACTGGAAGATTATATTGACTATCCCAAACTGAAATAATACAATCCCAAAGAAATACATATTATAAGAACTAGTTTCTATTAATATTGTGTGGATGGAAGAAATCGATGTCCAAACATCTTGTTTTCGGTGTTTCTCAAGGGTTGTGAAGACCTGAGCGATGGTGGTCACTGTTGCAGAATGCGGGGGTGGCGTGATCAAGACCCTTGCGCCATTTAGTTTATGTGCCCAAACAAACATTCAAAATGGTCTACTTAGCCTCTGGTAAATTAACATAGACCCTGAAAATAGCCTAGTTTTAATGGAAACTAATCTTCCAACCCCTATCTGCCAGGGTCTATGTTAATTTACCAGAGGCTATGTGTATTTATGGTCTATTTATGCGCAAATGTTCATCAACATTCATCAACCACATGTTCATCAATGATTTTGTATTGATCCTTCCCTTCTCAATTTGGTTTTTGTCTGAAAATAGGGTACCCCCGAACTGAAATGGTATCAAACCTCATCGTCTCATCAAAATAACCAAATTTTGAGGTATAAATCCACCATATATTCAAAGAAACCCAAAATCATACAACGTGCGTGTTACCCTCCCACGAACTAACAGTTCTTTTTGTGGAAAGCAATGGGAAAACTGACCATTTCCAGATCATTGTCCCATTATTCATATTTTCCCTCCAAAAACCATGGCTGGTTGGTGGTTTCAACCCCTCTGAAAAATATGAAAGTCAGTTGGGATGGATTATTCCCAATATATGGAAAGTCATAAAAGCCATGTTCCAAACCACCAACTAGATGGGTTTTTCACCTCTTTTTCTACCCTACCCTCATCCAAAATCCTATCGCCACTGGCGCCCGGACGTCTCTTTGGACTGGTCTGCCTCAGGACGACTTGGCGCATTGGCATGGCAGTGGAGAAATCCTGGTCATTTATAGCAATTGAATCCAGCTTATTGATCAATTTTCTATAAGAGAATAAGATCATAACCCATAGGATCCATGTATGGTATATATGCTAACATTGGGGGTATATTGATGGGATCCATGTTACCATTAATATAGCAGCACCATGGATCCTATGGGTAAGTGGTCAGGCTAAATGAATGGAGAGTATTTTCCGGAAAAGGTGTATTTCATGGAACTTACTGATCCAAATGGCTAGAGGCTACCGTACCAAATGGGATCCAACAGGCCCTTTTTTGGAAGCAATACATGGATGCAGCATGAAGTTGGGCAAAGTCATGAAAGATCTGTGAAACAAAGATAATCTTACTGGTGCTTAGTAGGGAATGGATGGGAATGGGGGCATGGGATTATCACTGATAGTTGTTGTGGATCATTCCCTCATTCCCTACTAAGCACAAGTAAGTCATAAAACATTCGTCAAGAATCAGAGAAAGCAACCACTGATGCGACAAGGGATCATCGCATAGATCGTTGTATATCGTGGCAGCCAAGAAAAGGGACACTGAAAGAATTTCTGCCAGGAAATAAGCTCCACAAATTGGTGAACATATTGATAAAACATGATAAAATCATGGTTTGCTTTTATGTTTGCTGGGCAATCCCGGGCATGACAAGAGTAAATATAAGGCCTAGACGCTGAAAACACATTTCCTGCGTGATTCGATTGGTCATTGATCAGAAGAAAGATCAAAGCATGTTTCCAAACATCCATCAACGTCAACCATTCAATCATATCAGTTTAAGCAGCAGCAGCAGCAACAACAACAACAACAACAAGAAGAAGGACGACAACAAGAATTCTCAGCAATCACTTTGTGTGTTGATCCCACAAGCCTTATATCTGTGGATAAAGAACAAAAACAAGCAGGCTTCGTGGCTGTCCATAGCCACGTTGCAGGATATGAGTGATGTTCCTTGGTGACCCATGAGTAAAGCCCTGGCCCTGGCAACAGAAATTGGTCATCATGAGTTGCTTGCGTTTATCCTCTAAAACCTCCCATAATCAGGAGATTGTCTTCGGCAATCCATTCTATCTCTTCAGGTTAGTGGTGAACATATTATAACCCATTGCACATACAATTCCCCTGGCAAGTCGCACGTCACGCAGGTATGTATCCACGTCTCATCGTGGATCGCACGTCCATTTTCCAAAAGGTTCCATCGCCCCTTGTGGAGGTGATATTCCCAATCGAACCACGATCAATTCTGGGATATATTCGACCCTCATGGGTGATTACCACCAATCATGCAATGTATGGCAAAGATTGATTCATCATAACCTACCACCTATTATTGACCCATATTCACGCATATCTTGATGCTTAAATACCGTTTCTGATCCACCTGACCCCACCCAGCCATTTTCCTTGCGAGAGGGGTCTTCATGCTTGGCTGCTGTTTGTCAACATCACAAATTTATATCTGCCATATCTTCTTAAGTTTCTCACAATTCAGAAGCGTTTTTCTGGGCAAATTAAACCATCAAATGCATTAAAATGCATTAAAATACACCGTATCTGACTTGGTGAAAGTGGCCATTTCTTCAGCATCCACAGGTCCGACCCTCACCCTGACCGGCCCCAACCAGCGGCGCAACCAGGTCCTGCCAGGCCCCCGGGTCCCCGAACCCAGCAGAGTTCATTGGAGATGTCGTAGGGCGCCAAGTCCCCCGAACGACGACGTTTGGAGCCGCGGACCTGGCAACCGAAGTTGAGGCTACCCAGGGGTCACCTATCCCATGACGGATCCATGGTGCTGCTATATTAATGGTAACATTTATATACCATCAATACACCCCAGTCATGTTAGCATTAATATACCATGGATCCGTCATGGGTATCCCTTTTTTCCGCTGGGAATTTCAGGTATTTCACCAACTGATGGGAAATGATGGGCATATGTACGATATTGTACGATGATGTAATGATGGAAACTGAGGCTTAAGCACAGGATGTCCAGATCATGGATAATCATTCTCCCGGATATGGAGAGTATAACCCCAATCAGCTGGGCTTAGCACCCCTCCATCTGTTGCTCGGAACTGCTTAGCTCATCCAAACGGCTATGTTCGATGGTCAAATCATCAACTTCATCAACTCACCCCCGATTTTTCTGGGATGTTGTTGGTTAAACTACACTTCTTAAAATATGTTGTTGGTTAAATCAACCTACAAGGTGGTGCCCCCCAAGTTATAAGTTGGTTTATAATCCCATTAACTATATATAGATATATCACCTATAAACCATAGTTATTGGAGTTATAAACATACTTAGCTATGTAGGGGGCACCGCCTTGTACTTCTCAACAAAAATCCCCTGATTTTATCACCGTTCTTCCTGGTGAAGTGAAAACATCTTCGCTGCTTCAATCACCGCAAGCCTTGGCAGAGACAGCAGCCTCCGCAGCCTCCGCGGCCAGTTTGGCAACGTCCGCCGCCTGGGTGTTGGGATCGGGATTCCATCCGACATAGAACAAAATGACCAGGTTTTTAATTTTTATGACAAAAAATAGTTGTTTACCTGAAGTATTTACCTGAAATCACACTTATTCTGCGATCGTTTCTTAGGTAATATTGTTTTTTCTGTAGACAATTACCATAGTTATATAGTTGTTTAGAGGTAAATCATCGTTCAAATCATCTATTTTCTATTGGCCATTTTCCATTAACAAAAATGATAATTAGTGATCTCTGATATGATTGGTGCTAAGTTGTATTGGTGTGTTGTATTTGTTGAGTCATGAGTTAAGTCTATAAACATATTCATGAATCATTATAAACTTATAAGTTATATATATATATATATATATATACCTTGTTGGATGTATCTAAACTTCAGAACAGTTATCACTTAGAAGTCAAATATTAGATTTGTAATAGATATTTTGATATGTAAATCATAAAAGGGATAATATCAATATTGGTGATATATGGTGATATCCTGTTATTGGTGCATATTGGTGCTAAGTTGTACTGGTCTGAGGATGTAAACCCGATATGATGTGCTGATATGAGAATATAATTTGGAAAGTCATCGTAGTTGATAGAAAACAGTTCCTAACCAATTTTATTGTTTCCACGTGTATTTTTTTTAGAGCAAGAAACATCACAATGACTATACCGGCGCTGCAAAGAAACTTGGTGCTTTGTTGATTCCCGTCCAACAGAGTACAATTTTTGCTCTGATAAGCCCATCTTAACGCCCCAACTGTCAACAACAAACCTAAACATCTTATATCATATGGCAACCTAATCCATTCATCCGTTCTTATTGACATTGTGGGGGGATCTACCAATATCCTTTGGGATCAATATGGTGGAATGTTCCACACCTTGATTTTACAGGTTGCATACACACTCAAATATTGTTAGACCCCTGTACGGGTCGAAACTGTCGACGATTTGATTTGAAATCAAATTTACCTATATGACGGTTTGTCAAAATGGCTTTTCCTGGTTCCGCACTAATTCTCAACAACTGGTACAAAACTTCTGTTAACTATTTTTGGCAAATGGTCATATATTTGTGTGGTTCCATGGTTGGGACTGCACTTCCGGCGTGCTGAGCGGAAAAAAGCCACCGCTGTCGGGATTACATCCCGACTTCTGGAGGGTGTTACCATACTTCTTCCCATAACCCCAACTGGTTAGTTTATATCCCATCATAGCCTCATGTTATCCCATCATGCCCGTATTGTTGGTCAGCCCAACTCCCAACCAAGGCAAACTCCAGCAACATCTCCTGCCTACGTGGAATATGATGGTCATCATGGGTGGAAATTCACCAACATGAATATATATATATATTATATACATATATATTATTATATATATATATATATCTTAGCTTTGTTTAGCCTTTTGTAGCCATGTTTAGCTCCCACCCCCTGTTGAAGAGGCAGGTCTTGAAGTGACATGCAACAGGTGCATAAGATATATACCAATTATGTTCCAATGACATTCTCATTAAAACGTATTATTCCCATTATATTAGCATTATATTCCCATTATATATAATATTATATAAGATGTATCAAAGTTCCCAATTTCATGGTGACGTCCCAAGTTCTTCCCTTTTCGTCGTTTGAAAAACCACCACACCTCCAATGGGATGACGAAACGGACGTAGAGAATCCCGGCGAACCAATTTTTCGGCCAGCGCCTCGGGGATCAGCTCGGAGATCAAAGTGGCCATGACCAGCAGAAATGGTAAAAAACACAGGATTATACGATTATACATGAGAGAAAAACAGCAGAAATGGTAGTCAACAAGAATCAAACTTGCGATTATACATGATAAAACCAAGCAGACATGGCAAACAATTGGATTTCAATCAACAATTTAATGGGGATCTCATCAAGAGATGTAAAACAACACATGATAAAAAATGAAAAATGGTGGAAAATCAATCAAGAATGGGAGAAGTCAACTGGCAAACTTTGGAATTGAACAGATAAACATGGTCCGTTGACGACGATGTTTGGGTTTCCCCGAGGCCAACGCCTCTGAAGGCCAGAAACGAGTGAAACACCCATCCCGTCTCCGAAAGAAGGCGGAAAACCGAGAAGAATGATAAATGTCTTAATCTGGTTGGTGGTTTGAACCCCTCTGAAAAATATGAAAGTCAGTTGGGATGATTATTCCCAATATATGGAAAAAAAATGTTCCAAACCACCAATCAGTACTGGTGCTAAACGTAGGGAATGGATGGGTTGCTGGGGGTTGCTGGGATGATGAAATTACTAGTGATGAAATGGATCATTCCCAAAAATTCCCTGCGTTTAGCACCAGTAAGTAACATAATCATTGGAATCATAGGCTATACCCAATTCATGTATTTGTCAATTTGTTGATATTAGCATCATGAGCTATACCCAATTTATTGTGGTTATTTCCCCAATTTGGTTGGTTGTATAAACCCCACATCCAGCCAACTATGCGTTGATCTTCAGCAAAACATGGCAGCTCCAAAAAAGCGAAGCAAGCGGCCGCGACGCTGCCATGCCATGATGCCGGCCGCAGCCGGCCTACAAAACCAAAGGTGAAGAGGATGATGTGAACCCAATATTTCGCTAAACCACCAGTTTTGTAATCGCGGTTGTTCATATATTATCCATTGTAAAGCGTTTTTGATGATGGTTATCATGAATTGTTGATGATTGTTGATCATTGTTGATGGCTATTGTTGATCATTACTTTGTAATAATAGGAGGTTATCACTATTCTGGGGCAAACCCCCGAAAGGAACCCGTCAGGGATTCTTTTTCTATAGGGTTGACACTACAAGCTGATCAGCGGCAATTAAGCTTCTGGTACCTTGCTGGACAAATTAGGCGCGGTAAGGACCAGCCATTTCACGCTTGCAACTTGTGCTGCTTGCATTCTGCGTCTGTTGTCACTGCGGAAGCCTTAGCCTTTGAAAAACCTTGGCCACTGAAATGTCATCTGTTTAAAAAGCGGGTTAAATGAGGGATATTGGGATACCCCCAAAATATCCCAAAATGGCAATCTTCATCTACCCATAGGTTGTAACTTTGCGGACAGCTTTCCATGTCTTCTGGAACATCTTGGGATCATGGTCGCATGGACAGCTTCGAACCAGACGTTGCGGGAGATCCATATCGTGGCTGCAACGCTCTGTTAAAAAAAAAAAAAACAGATACTCCCAGCACTAAAGGAGTTGTTTGTAGAAGTTGGTTTTATCTATGGTATTCTATGGTTATACGAAACATATATCTTATCTATGGTTATGTTGTTGTTTGTTTTCTGTTGTTATTAATGAAACAACAACGCCTAGCTACGCTTTGTTGACGACATATCATCCTCTTGGATTGACCACATGTTGACCAATTGGGGTGACTAGGCTGATCTTACTGGTACCCAATTGGATGATTCCGATTGAAATAAACCCGGGAATTGCCAGCATTTTCGATGATCTTTTGGGTTGTATGATAAATATTGATAAATTGCTATTATATGATTGCTATTATCATTATTATCAACACTATTATCATCCACATTTGAGTTGAAGGTGATCATTAAACAGACCCCATTGGGACACTCCAGGCAACCGAGGAAACAAGCAGTGATCATGCTTACAACAGAAACAAATGGGAGCATAAACCCAAGTAATCCCAGGTTTTTTGAAATCCCATGTAGCCCATATATAATATTGTCACATTATCCAGTATCCCAGTAGGTAAATGTATTATACCATTATAATCCCAAACTAATCCCAGATTTTCCTTTAGGTAAAACAATTATCACATATCCCAGTTCATCCGCATCAGATCCAAGATTATTCCCATGAATCCTTATTATCCCATATTATTCCCAGATTTTCCTTGGATATATCGATCCCAAGTATCAGATCCAGCAAAGCCCATTCCGCAGCAACCTTTCGGCTTTTAGGCGCGATCACTGAAGTTGTGCAGGGCCATCACGTCGACCCAAGGTCGAGCCGCACGGTGAGTCCTGGTGAGCATCAAGCATATTATAAGTAGTTTGGTATTTCACTGATGTATCTATGTATATATATATATATATATATATATATTATGTGCAATTATATATGGATGGAGACCATCAATGTTGCTGAGTATACTATACAAGACCGATATATTCGTTTTTTTTTTTTTTAAAAAAATTGTTTATAAAGCAAATCAATCTATACATAGATAAACATCACCAGAGAAAACCATATTGATTACCCTCTGGTAAACTAACATAGCTATTGAAAATGGCCATTTATAGTGGAATTTCCCATTAAACATGGTGATTTTCCATAGTTATGTTAGTTTACCGGAGGATATCAATTTAAACCATAGCACATCTCCGAAGTTCCCCTGCCTAGCGTCATGCCGTCACAGCAGAGCTTCTAAGAACCTCACAAAGGGCGCAAAAACCGGAGGTCCCACGAATCTCAAGTCGTTAGTTTGACCCTGAAATGTGCACATATATAAATATAATATATATATATATATATACATATATATCATATCTAATATATATATATATATGTATGGATATAAGCTGGGTATTTCCCATACATAGCAGGGGGAAGATATGGTTGTTAAATGTGCTTACCACTTAGTTACTTAGTATGTTAAAGTATCCCAAACTGACAGTAGATGGTCTCGTGTTTGATACACAAAGCTGTGAAGTGTGGTGTTGACTTTGGCAGGAACTCATTAAGGTGGACTGGTCTTTTCGCCCGACTTTCCCTAAAAATTCTACGTCACTATCATTCGATAGTCAATGATTAGCAACTGTATACTGTAACGATGACTCAACCATGAATAGTTCAACCATTTTGAGATATATGTAGATATAGTTAGTCCATTCCAACTCCAATCCCAAGACCAATTTCATTAAACTCAATGTATATCCCCAAAATATCCTCATTATATCCCCATGAGGGTGCAGTTCAAGTTGTAGGTGGATACATAACCATAATTATACGCAGCTATATTCCAACTTATGTAAAGTTGAATCCAACAATCTATACAACAATCATAATTACCCATTAACCCAACTGCAGCCCCAAGCCTTGGAAAATTCAGTGTATCATAGTATATCCCCCATGATATTCCCAATAAACACCAGCTTTTCCGTGGTTTTTCATGATTTTTCATCCCCGTTGTTCGGCTACTTCCATATTTCAAAACTTTGCCTCATCCTGACCCCAAGCCTTCAGGATCATGTCCCAAGAGCTGTACAGCAGCGCAGCCTGGCACGTTCGTATTAATTAACCAGCAAAACCAAACATGGAATTCATGAGATGTTCCTTTTAAATCCTAAATAAATCGAAATTCCATAAAATGATAAGTAGGATTCAATATTCATGAGATGTTCCAAAATTTCAATGAATCAAAACCATCATAAGTATAGGATTTCAATTGAAATCAATCTGCTGTCGATTTTGGCTACGAAATCCAGCCATGTTTTTCTGGCACCCGTTGAACCGTTGAAGCCCCTGGGGTTCTCCTGGGTTCCCCGACCCATAAGGCCCACTTGAAGGGTCGCAGCTCCTCGGCCACCTGGAGGTGTCTTTGGGAAATACATTGGATATCAATAATATAATATTAATATCAATAATTCATGAAAGTCATTTTACTGGGTCGATATATATATATATATACATATATATATATATATGGGCTCAGGCCGCTCACCATATATATTCATATATATATAATTATATATAGTATGATGATGATGATAAAAATAATGAATGTATTTCCCATTTTTATATCATATTCCAGATATAATAATATAAATAATTTCAATTCAATATGGTTTTTGATACGTATCTCATGTATGGGAAATGGGCATAAGCATTAATCTGGAAATAACAAATAAGCCATTTCATGCATAAATATACTGTATATATAATTGTCTCGTTGAGAGCAGGTTAGAGGCTGCTCTCTGGGGTTACACTTCTCGATTTGTGCCCCTCTTCAAATTCCGATCTCCTCACCAACACCGCCCGTTAACGCACCTCGTCTTTTTGATGCGAAAAACGGCTGCATGCAAGCAGTCAAAGATCACAGCTGAAATTGCACATAGAGTGATGTGTTCCAAAATGATGAACACTCCCCCGAGTTGGCGACGCACGTCACTCAACTCACTTCGTTCATAAGTATTGGCTATGGGAATTTCCGTCCACAGCACAAAATTGATTTCGCATTTCGAAAGGGATGTGCAAAAAACCTAAAAAACGGTTTCCCTCTCACTTTCTGACTCAAGCCGTTCTTTTCTCTTCGCTCTTCCTTTTCTTTCTGGCTCACCCTGTCTCGATGAGAGCAGGTTAGAAATCACTCTTAACACCTCTGACACTTTGAATACCTCTTCGAATTTGATGAAAGCAGTGGACAGTTGGGATCATAGTGTGCTACTCCCCCTGGGCCCACTGAGAGTATTGGCAAGGATTCATCTCGGTTGGCCTCTGAACATGATTGGCACCATTGGCTTGGAATGAGACTTCTAGAGTTGGCAAGAGTAGGGCAAGTGGTATCTTGATGCCACTTGGTTCCCCATGGAGTGATAAATGCTGGCCTTCTACCAGAACCTTTGCTCGTTCTGTCGGTTCTGGCTGTCCCTGTGTTGGTCACATTGATCTGAGAAACCACTGGTGTGTTCGCCGTCCTTGGCATACTCAC